CTTAGAGGAGCCGCCAATCTCTGTCCTCCCGTTGTCCACTGCTATCCAATGTGGGACCTTTCCCTCGTTCTCCAAACGCTCATGTTGTCCCCCTTCGGACCTTTGGGGTCCATCAGCCTCCGGTTTCTGATTCTGAAAGTTGCTTTCCTGGTAGCAATCACCTCTGCACGAAGAGTCTCTGAGATTGCTGCCCTGTCTATGCGGTGGGACCTCTGTATCTTCCATTCGAACAGAGTAGTCCTGCAAATGGATCCCTCCTTTTTGCCCAAGGTCAACTCATTGTACCATCGTGCCCAAGAAGTGATGTTATCTGATTTCTTCCCAGGCCCGCAACATCGACTGGAAGCACAGTGGCATACCTTGGATGTCAGGAGGGCCCTCCACAGGTACATTAAAAGGACTGCTCCTTTCCAGAGATCTGAGGTGCTTTTCATCTCTTTCCTCCCTGCATCAATGGACAAGAAGGTCCCTTCTTCTACCATCGGCCCCTGGCTTAAGGCGTACATATGCAAGGCGTACGTGCTCAGGAATAAACCCCTGCCAGGTAGGATTCTACCGCACTCGACAAGGAGTGCTTCCACCACTGTGGCTTGGGCTACCCAGGCTTCTGTGATCGACATTTGCAGGGCGGCCACTTAGACTTCACTTACACTGTTCATTTGCCATTACAAGGTTGACTCCTTTGCCTTGGCTGAGGCGTCCTTCGGACGGCAGGTGTTACAAACGGTCCATTCTATGTCGGCCACCCGGGAGCATTCAGCCTCCCTCCCTTCTTAGTACTTGCTTGGATATATCCCACACTTTTGGATTCTCCAAGCAGCACGCTGGAGAACGGACATTGTCTTACCTGAACGTACCTTCTATGCGTGCTGCTTGAGAATCCAACCCGCCCTGGCCGGCTTCTGCTCCTCTGTTCCGGATGGCTCTACTGGACTTTCTTCCTTTCTCTTCCTTCGTGAACAAAACTGAACCTCAGCCCGTCGGTGGAGATGGAGTCAAAAAGATTTAAAGATATATTCATTCAGTCTCTGGCTAACAGACTAAGAATAACCCATTCTTTTGGATTCTTAAGCAGCGCACATAGAAGGGACGTTCAGGTAAGACAACATCCGTTCCATTTTTTCACTTGTGTTCTTTTTCATCTTCTGTTCTTTGTGGATAAAAAAATATATTCATTATAAATGAATGCATAATAAAGTATAAAAATTAAGATTCAGTTCTTTCCTTATATGTACACTCATGTTTGCCATTATATATGTACACTCATGTTTGCTATTCAACTTAGAATAAAAATATTCTTAAGCTATATTTACATCTGTTTCATTTGTTACATATTTTTTCTCTACACAAAGAACTTGTCTATAAGAAACAATATAAATGCACATTATAACTAAGCTAAGAAACGAGGGTTATGGGGCTTTTTAAATAGATTTTTAGAGTCAATTTTAAGGAGATCCGGGAGGTGGTATTTAATGTAAATAATGAGGCTGGGGGGCCTCTTAAGGATCTGCAGCCTTGCCAGTCGGACGGTCACGACGGGTTGGATGGGTTGGACGGGGATGGGGGCTAAGATGAAGCTTGGAAAGAGGAGGGACACTCTATACCTGTGATGGTGGGGTGGGGCAGAGGGAATGGGAGTAGGGGGCGGGGACACCTCACCCACTGTATTCAGGTGGTGGTGCGTTCCCGCTCCTACTGCTCATCCTGCTTCCCTGGGGTGTGCGAGAGTGGGGGACCCTGGACTCTGGCTGGTGTATGTGAATGCCAGGTCCGTTGCAAAGAAGGCCCTCCTCGTATGAGATCTTATTGACGAGGAGGGGCCGGACCTGGCTTGTATCACGGAGACCTGGCTGGGGCAAGAGGGGGGAGTTCCTCTCGCTGATTTATGCCCCCCGGGCTTTCGTGTGCTGCACCAGCCGCGACGCCAGGGAAGGGGCGGGGGGGTGGCGGTGGTTGTTAGAGAAAGTCTTAGTCCTAGGGAGGTCACTGTCCCTCAGATAAGTAGGTGTGAGTCTCTCCTATTGAAATGGGACCCTGGAGTTCAGTCAGGCTTGTTGGTCATGTACCTATCTCCCAGCTGCGTGGCCACAGCCCTGCCCGCACTGCTCGATGTCTTGGCCGAAGTGGCAGTTGAACCCAACCTTTTGGTTGTGGGAGATTTTAATGGACCATGGACCTGACTCAGGTTGTTCAGGGCCCAACTCATAGGGAAGGTCACACACTTGACCTGGTTTTTCTCTCTGGGCAGTGGATAAATGGTCGGGGTAGGGGGGAACTCTCCATTGCCTCCCTGTCATGGACCAACCATTCCCTCCTTAGCCTGAACTTTCAATCCACCAACCCTCGCCGCTGGGAGGCGGAGCCAGTAAGATGGTTCCGCCCCAGGCGCCTGATGGACCCTGAGAGGTTCCTGACGGAGTTTGGGACATTCCCCGCCTCTCAATCCCGCGACTCGGCTGAGGCGCTGGTAGCATCCTGGGAACGGGCGGCAGCCGGCGCCTTGGATCGAATCGCACCTTTGCGGCCTCTGACCCAACGCAGATCCCGGGTGGCTCCCTGGTTCTCCATGGAGCTCCGGGAAATGAAGCGTCGGAAAAGACGCCTAGAGGAGTGTTGGAGGTCCTCCCGGTCTGAATCTGATCGAACACAGTTAAGAACCCACATTAAGTCTTATCTTGTGACGATGAAAGCGGCGAAGCGGGACCACTTCGCCACTCTCATTGCATCTGCAGAAAACCGCCCAGCGGCCCTGTTTAGAGTGACCCGCTCCCTCCTCAATCAGGGAGTGAGGGAAGACCCTTTGCAGGGCAGAGCTGAGGATTTTGTACAGTTTCTGCATGATAAAATCGCTCAGATCCAGATTGGATTGGACTCCGACTGGGCGGAATCCACTTGGGAGACTGGGGTAGGTCTTGGGAGTAGCATCTGGGTTGAGTTTGACCCTGTTTCCATCGATGAAGTGGACAGGATTGTGGGTAGACTGGGTGCCTCCACGAGTTTGTTGGATCCGTGTCCCTCCTGGCTTGTTTCAGCTGCCTGGGAGGTGCCTGGAGACTGGATCCAGGCAATTGTCAATTCTTCTTTGAGGGAGGGGATCTTCCCCGCCTCTCTTAAGGAGGCGGTGCTTCGACCCCTCCTTAAGAAGCCTGCCCTGGATCCAGACTCACTTAATAACTATCGGCCTGTCTCCAACCTCCGCTTTATAGCGAAGGTTGTTGAGACCGTGGTGGCACAACAGCTCCCACAGTTTCTGGAGGAAACGGAGTACCTACACCTGTACCAGTCGGGTTTTCGGTGCGGGTACAGCACGGAAACAGCATTGGTCGCTCTGATGAATGATCTCTGGCGGGCCCGGGATGGAGGTTGTTCCTCCATCCTGGTCCTACTTGACCTCTCAGTGACTTTCGATACCGACCATGGTATCTTACTGCAGCGACTTGGGGGTTAGGGGTGGGAGGTTCTGTTCTACAGTGGTTCTCCTCCTACATCTCAGGTCGCTCGCAGTTTGTATGGGTGGGGGAACAGAGATCCACCCCAAGGCCCCTAACTTGTGGGGTACCTCAGGGGTTGGTTCTCTACCCCCTACTCTTTAACATCTATATGAAGCCGCTGGGTGAAATCATTCGTGGTTTTGGGGTGACGTATCATCAGTATGCGGATGATACTCAGTTGTACATCTCCACCCCAGGCCACCCCAGTGATGCCCTTTCCATGATGTCCCATTGCCTGGAGGTGGTGCGGGCCTGGATGGGGAGGAACAGACTCAGACTCAACCCTTCCAAGACTGAGTGGCTGTGGATGCCAGCACCTCATGTTTCAGAGGTCCCATCACTTTTGACAGGGGGGGAGGTACTTGCCCCGGTAGAAAGGACCCGCAACTTGGGTGTCCTCCTGGATTCTCGGCTGTCTCTAGTAGATCATTTGACGGCCGTGACCAGGGGGAGTTTCGCACAGGTTCGCCTGGTGCGCCAGTTGCGCCCTTTCCTGGACCAAGATGCCCTTTGCACGGTCACTCATGCCCTGGTTACTTCCCGCTTGGATTACTGCAATTCCCTCTACATGGGGCTGCCCTTGGGGTACCCCTGGAGGCTCCAGCTGGACCAGAATGCGGCCGCGTGGGTTGTTACCGGAGCTCCTCGTTACTCCCATGTAACACCTCTCCTGCGCGAGCTGCACTGATTACCGGTGGTCCTCTGGATCCGCTTCAAGGTACTGGTACTCACCTATAAAGCCCTACATGGCTTAGGTCCAGGGTACTTGCAGGACCATCTCCTGCCTGCCTCCCACCGTCCTGTCCGCTCCCACAGGGCTGCTCTCCTCAGGGTACCTCGACCAGACAATGTCGTCTGGCGACATCTAGGGGTAGGGCGTTCTCTGTGGGCGCCCCTGCCCTCTGGAATGAGTTACCCACCGAGCTCCGGACGGCACCTGATCTCCGTTCCTTCCATCGGGGCCTGAAGACTTGGCTATTCCAACAAATAGGCTGATTTAGATTCTTGAGTGTTATTATTTATTATCATTCGATCTTAACTGATTTTAATTGGGTTATTGTATGTTTTTATCTGTTTATTTGTTTTTACCTGTGTTCACCGCCCTGAGTCCTTTCGGGAGAAGGACGGCATATAAATACTTGCAAATGAATGAATGAATGAATGAATAAATGAATGAATGAATGAATGAATGAATGAATGAATGTTACATATGTAATATTTCACTGTTTGTACATAGTCTTGGGATCACTGTTGATCCTATTTTTCTGGTATACAGAAACCATTATATAGAATTAGATAGTGAATCTTGTTGGCTTCATTCTGAAACAAATTTCCTGCTTTTGTTTTATGGTTTGATCTCTGAAGGAAAATATAGTCTATGAAGAAGCCCTAGTGTGCTTGTTAGATTTGATCTACTGAAACCATCAGCATTCACAGAATATGTTTATACTTTTTTCACCTAATAGAATTGTTATATTACATTTTTAAACTACTCCTTTTTTATCATAGAGATACAACAGTTATAAGCACCACTGGAGTGATTCAAGGAAACCTGTAATTCTAGAAGTGACTCCGGGAGGCTTTGACCAAATTAATCCTACAACAAATAAAATCCTGTGTTCTTATGACTATAGATATATTGAAGGATTTGTTGATCTGTCTGATTATCCAGGAGGGTTTTGTATAATTTATGGAGGATTTAGTAGACTAGTAAGTATTATAAAATACCTACTTTACCTATATTTAACATCTAATATATTTGTTTGATTGATCTTAAAAAATGAGATTTTGGTATACATTATGTCATAATTACCTAAATAAAATTTTGAATTTAATTACTGTAATTGACTAAATAATAGTCTATTAATTATCTATTAATAGTCTAATACAATACTTTTACAACTTTTATTTTTTGAAAGAAAACAATATTTCCTTAGACTATTTTAACTCAGTATTGATAATGGAGCAATGAATATTGTAAGTGATGCTATACACATTTTTTAATATTACAGACCACATTGTCTTTAAAACTATAAAGTCTTTCAGATTTAGCAATATTCTTAGAATATTCATATCAAAGAATTTATTGAAATTTGCAGCATTTATTTGCTTCTGAGCAAAGGGAAGACATTATTAAAAGTGCAATCGAACATGCTGGCAATTACATTGGCATCTCCTTGAGAACCCGAAAGGAGCCTTTAGAATTTGAACAATATTTGAGTCTTCGTTTTGGGAAATACAGCAGTGATGAATATATTACATCTTTAGCAGAATTTGTGGTCCAAAAGATATCTCCAAGGCATGCGGTAAGATCTATAATCTGCAAGATCTACAAGTACTCTTTTTTATATATGCTTGTTCATTGCTATCATTTATTTTTCCCTATCCAACTTTGTAATAATTCAATCTTTGTAGAAGTCTATAACTTCGTGCCTTCTATAAAACTACAGACAAAATAGGACCTTAGTGAAGCCTGCCAGTTATGGTAGCATGTTGGGACTGCCATTAAGCAAGAATGGCCTCGCTTAATGATTCTCATCTCCTGCGCTTCCTATTAAAAAACATGTTGTTAAGTGGAGCACAGGGTGTCTCCACCTGTCCTGGACCTCCAAGGCCACCTCTATCTCTGAGATATCTGTACTCCACTTCCTTCCCCACTTGGTCCTTCAGGCTTTTCCCCTCCCACCAGGTCCTTAGACAATTTTCCTCTTCACATCTTTTCAAGAACTTTGAGACCTTCCAGAGTATTGGAATGGGTTGCTTCATTGCGTGGCCACGTCGTGCAATTCTGAAAATGGCAGCAGTGTTTACAGCTACCAGAAATCAATTTGCCGATTGGTGGCTGCTTTCAGAATTGCACCATGTGGCTGAGCAACAAAGCTTTGTGCCTAGTTTTCTTCACATTAAAGAATGTATACTAACTTTCACTGGTTTATATATTTTCTTGTACTTATTATTAAAAACTATTTGCCGTTCTTTAAAATAAGGAATGAAAATGTTGTATGTAATTTATAAATATATAATATATATATTAGGTATTACCTAATATGTTTCATTTAGTGTGCAATGTTACAATAAATGGTGTCTCATGAGGAAAAAGGTATATAAATGCTGGCATAAATATATAATTTCACAGAAGTGAAATGTAGGAACTTTCAAAATGTTGAATTAGCACTGAGATGAAAAAAACTTTTTAATTAAAACTTTTAATTAAAAGATAACAGACATATGCATTGTTTGCTACTTTTTTACTATTTTAATTGAACAACTGTTTTTAGAACAAGTTTTAAAGGCTTGATATGTATCAAAAGTGTTTAGTGTACAGTTTCTTTACTTGGTATACATTTGAACTAAACTCATTAGCAGTACCAACTTTGTCTTGCTTTTTGGTTGATCAAGAGATCCAGATAAGCTATTTTATTAACTGTACAGTTAATACAGTTAACATTAACTGTATTTGAGTCAAAGTCTGTTTGCTATTTTCTAACAGTTTCTGGATACATGTGAAAAATCAATCTCTACAGCAGTTTTGTATTATAATTAAAAATAAAAATATGTCAAGAATCTTAAGGAACCTGCATTTCATTTGCATACATTTATGTAGTTCATGGACCTCAACATATGTTAACATTAAACATCTTAATACAGTAATAGTACTTGGCTTACAATCACAATTAGACCCAGACTTCCGTTGTTAAGTGATACAGTTGTTAAGTGAGTTGTGCCTAATTTTATGCCTTTTTTAATCAAGTTTTTTAAGCAAATCACCAGGATTATTAAGAAATCCAACTTCTCCTATTTATTTTGCTTGTCAGCAGATCCATGAGAAGGTTGCAAATGATGATTATGTGACCATCGAATGCTCCAACTGAGATGCTTGGCAACTGCTATTTATGAATCATAAATAACATGCCAATTGCTAAGCATCTGAATTTTTTTTATAAAAAGTTTTTTTTTTTTTTTTTTTACACAAACATACAATGTATTTTTGCTGAATAGAATATTTGGCCGGTTAACAAATTTAAACAGTTTTTAGTCCTTTCAGCTAAAATTACAATTTCTATATCTCCTTTTTGTCATAGTATTTATTTTCATCTATTTTTTACCAATATTACCCTTCATTTTCATCTCTAATTTTAACCAAATTCCATTTTTCCCTTCTATTCTATATTAAACCCCTTCCCTTTGTCATCTGTTTTTGTATCCATCATCAAATTAATTAATTTTGTGGTGTTACAGTTGTTCAATTCTTATAGGAATAGTAAACCCACTTATTTTATAGCATACATTTCCTTAAATAATACAGTCCAAGGATGCTATATTCATAATAAAGGATCGGTTGTAAGCATTATTTCAATAACATCATAACTTAAAATGGTTATAAGGAGAAGATTACCTGCATAAGGAGAGTTTAGTGTTTAATTTATTCTGTTTAATCTGGTTTATAATTTCTGTTTAATGGCATGGTTAATTGCATGATTAATTAAGTAAAATATGTCTTTTTTTCAAGGAACCAGTGAAACGGATATTAGCTCTTACAGAAACATGCCTGGTGGAACGTGACCCAGCTACATACAATATTGCAACACTAAAACCTTTAGGAGAGGTAAGAAGTAATTGAAGTTTAATAAATCACAGAAGCATAACCTGACAATCAGCTTCACTTCAAGATTCACTCATTTAGAAACTCTAATACACATAATTTGTGAGTTCATAAATTACATTAAAATTTAGAAAAGATTATGAAATATTGGCATTTGTAATGTGGTATTTAAATATGTATAGAATAATAGATTTAGTGTGACAAGTTCTATTTGACGAACTCTTTCTTTAAAGGTATTTGCGCTAGTATGCGATTCTGAAAATCCACAGCTTTTTACCATAGAATTTATCAAGGGACAAATCCGAAAATACTCTTCAACAGAGAGGTATTTTAAAATATTATTGAATTATCAATTACTTTGTTGGTATGTCAGTTTAGGTAGTATTCTTACATACACCATATATTACTTATTTTACTTTTCAAAATTAAATAGTTACTTATAATTTTTCAGATATATAGCTTATGTTTTTATATTAGTAAGAAAAGACACTAGTTTTTAAATTCCCTTAGCAAATCCTGAAAAAATTAGAGACAATTAAAATTGTAATCTAGAAAATAAGCTTTACTACAGGTTAATAACTGAAAGTGTATCTAAAATAAAATAAATCTTCTAATACTCAAGGAAAACAAATCAATCCTGTCCATTTTGGGAGCTAATTTACCCAAGGCATGTTTTTTTCAAATAAATATAGACATTGAGGAAATAGAATATGGTCCATTATCTCTTCAACTCCTTTGCCTCAAGCAATACATTTAATTGTTCATTTGTCTCCTGTTATGTCTTGAACTGTTTATCTATTCCTCACATGTCAATTTTGGAAAATGTGTTTCTTTATTCCATCTTCCTGACAGACATGAGACAGATGGGTGATGTGGTTTCAGATGTAGCCAAATTGATATGTATATTATGGGACATGTTATGTTTGCAAATGCTGCCTCATCATATTTTATACAATTCAGTAGAAAAGCATCATGCTTTTGCTGTTCATGACAATATTAGCTAAAAATTAAATAATTTTCCTAGGGATTCACTGTTAGCCAGTTTGCTGGATGGAGTAAGAGCATCTGGTAATAGGGATGTTTGTGTGAAAATGACACCAACAGAAAAAGGGCAGCGATGGGGCCTTTTGAGTATGCCAGTAGATGAGGAAGTTGAAAGCCTTCATCTAAGATTTTTGGCAGCACCTCCAAGTAAGTGTTCTCTTTGGGATTTATATTGCTTTATAAATTGGTTTGTGGTCTTCCTGCAGATCCAGAAAGAAAACCTAACTTTTTAACTGTTTGCTTCCTACTTGTTCTATTGCAGATGGCAATTTTGCAGATGCTGTCTTTAGATTTAATTCTAACATTTCATACAGTGGAGTTCTTCATGCAGTGACACAAGATGTAAGTTGAAAATAAACACATCAATCCCTCTTTTCATATTCTTTTTATTGCTGGTGAAACTCTTTCTTTCTTTCTTTCTTTCTTTCTTTCTTTCTTTTATTCTTTCTTTCTTTCTTTCTTTCTTCAGGGTCTCTTTTCTGAAAACAAAGAAAAGCTAATAAATAATGCTATAACAGCATTACTCTCCCAAGAAGGTGACATTACAGCATCTATTGCAGAACTTGAAAGCCAATTCCAAGCTGTTAGAAGATTAGTTGCCTCCAAAGCTGGATTTCTTGCTTTCACACAACTTCCAAAGTAAGTATTTGAATCTCAATATATATTGTGTCTTCCACAATATATGGATGTAATTACATCTCTAGCTTGCACTGGAGTAAAAGTAGAGAAAGTTGTTCCTTTAATCCCAAATACAAAGATCTGTCAAAAAGCAGCAGTCAATAGAGTTAAATTATAACATCTATCCCATTGTAGTTCTATGCCTCCATATGATGATGATCTTATTATAATTTTATCTTAATTTAATATATATGTATAGTCCTCATATCTTTTATATATATATAATTTTATTTATAGTTTTTTCTTTAACATCCGTAAGTGCTTAGTGAACAGTGTATTGTCTGGTCGATATACTTTATACCCATACTATTAACAATAATAATACTGTTTAGGTATACATAATATTTCAACTTCTAACATTTATGTACACATAGTAATTATAATGTATTCTATTATGTATCAGTATACATAAATATTATTTTACCAATTTCTACTTTCTACCTCTATTTTCTAACCCTTAGTGAAGCCATAACCGTATTAAGAAATATTCTATATCTATCCATCTATCCATTTCAACTCTTATTAACTTTTATTATTGACAAATCTCTCATGCTTCTCCCTTGGAATCTTGTATCTCCTTACATCACTCATATTTAGTCTAAGTATTTCATTGCTTCAACACCTATCTCTTGCTGTGGAATCTCTAGAGCACTCATCAATAACCCTTTCATCACTTCTAGGAGATTTTTTCTCTTTATTTTCTGTATTTTGACCTCTTAAAGGGTACCAACTCCATTTTAGAAAATATTACTATCTCTTCCGTATCTTTATCTACTTGTGTCATTTGTTGATTTATCTCCTCTATTCTTTCCTTAGCACCTTCTAATTATTCCTGCTTTCTGAATTTTTTGTTCATCTTTCATTATCATTTGCTGAGGGTTTTCTAGTCTCACATTTGTATCTTGCATCAATTTCATTATCTCGCTATGATTCCTTATCATAGCTTCCTGAATACATGGAAGCATCAATAATATTTCTTTTTAAAATGTATTTGTTTTTCCCTGTTGAGACATTTTGTGTGAATTTAATAGACTAAAAGTTACTCAATAATCCACCAAGATCCCAATGTCCCAATTGCACAGAAACGCCAGAAATTCCAATATCAGTAAAATTTGCTCATTCCCAGAGCTGTTCCTACAAAACGTATAGTCCTCAGAATTTTCCAGTTTGCACCCTCCAAGGTGTCCAAATTTATAAGTCTTGTTTAATTTTTCTTCTTTCCTTTTTTGCCTCGTAGAATGTTTTATCAGATATTATTAATAATCCAGAATAGCCCATCAACTTTCCCCAAATCTCATTCATCCACAAAGTCAAGTATTCAGTTTCAAGGGTAATTCTTGTTAATTATAGTCCACACTGCCTTGAAAATCTTCAAAAGGCTCACCAGTTACTTCCAATTTCTATTTGCCAAAAAGCAAATAGATATAGAAGCTTTCCCTATTTCCTTTCTTCTCCTCCTTCTTTTTCCTTCTGTTATCTGTCCTAATTTTTAAAATCTTCTTTCCAAGATCTTTTCCCACCATATAGTATCTATCTTTCATCAGTAGGTGGCACCCTGCTCTAAGTTCCAGCATTAAATGAAGCAAAGATAGAACAGCTGATTTGCAAAAGATCCAGAGGGAAAAAAACACCCAATTTTTCTTTATACAATTTCTTCCAGTAATCAGACAGTATTATTCACAAATTAGATCACTTTTCACAGTACTACAAGTTCCAGTCCAGTCTTTCTATATTATAAAACTTCATAGTCTTCCATTAAAATTTGTTTCTCATTTTGGGTCTGTAATCTATTTCTGTGTGTTAACTCGCCGCTTTCTCAGCGTTTTGGAGTCTTTTTTTTTTTTTTTAGTCTTTTATAGAAGTTGAAAATGGTCTCATCCAGTTCCAATCCTCTGTTCATGAACTGCTCCAAGCTCATAATCTTCTTGTCCCAGTTGTCACAGCTTCAGTCTGGCCATAATGGCCGTTGTCTCTGCTGCCAGTCAGGTGGGTTTCTTTGGATCAAGCGAGGAAATTGCTGTTTCCTCACGATCGACAAAGAGTCCCTTCATCACCCCTCCAGAATGGCTTTGGCCCCATAGGGTCTCCTGGCAAGCAGGTATCGGCTGGGTTTTGCTGAGCCCCCTAGCCCATGTCCATCTCGCTGTGAACCAACCAGTCAATCTCTTGTCCACATATCTTTTATGCACACATGCGCATGTATGCACACACATACACACATTTGATGCTGCTTTATTTAAACTAAATTCGTATATGAGTGATTGCATGATCTCTGGAGATGCCATACGTCAGAGGTCCCCGACCCTCGGTCCATAGACTCGTATTGGGCAGTGGTCCATTGGAAACTGTACAAGTGGCAGGCGAGCATGCAAGACTCCATTTGCACAAACAGCAAAGCATTTCCATTTTCCACATGAAATCATCCCCCAGCTGCTGACGGTCAGTGGAGCAAGAAAGATTGGGGACTGCTGCCATATGCTAAATAAGTAGAGTTGATTCTGGTTTTTAAATTATTTATATTTAACATTTTATTGAAAGTATTATATAGTCCTGTTGGATTGATCCCCACAACCAGGGGTTCTCAGACTTTTTAAGTAGGGGGGCAATTCACGGTTCCTCAGACTGTTGGGGGACCAGACCAGCTGGGTGGGCGTGGCTAGATCATGTGACTAGGCAGGTACGGCTAATTTAACAGACCATTAAACAATGCACATAAATTAAACTTTAATTTGTTTTGCTCCTGGGGGGTGTTTATTTGCTTTTGTTTGTATGTTGCTCTTTTGGTTGATTTTTCTTTTTACTAGATCATTTTTTCAGTTGTTTAGGAGTCTAGTGGTACACTTCAGAAAACTCAGTTTTGTAGCAATTGTTCTCAGCCCCAAGGAGCTTGAGAAATCTCTCTCTGTCCCTCTTCTCTTCTCTCTCTCTCTCTGTCTCTCTGTCTCTCTCTCTCTCTCTCTCTCTCTGTGTGTGTGTCTCTGTCTCTGTCTCTCCCCCCCCTTCTCTCTGTCTATCTCACTCTCTTCATCTATCTTCTGGAGGTGGGGGAGGTGAAAAACAGGCTGTTTTCGCCCATTTTTTGGCCTCCTGGGGCATCTGTGTGCCCTATTTTTCACCCTGCTTCCAGCAGCATTCTGCAGTCCAAAAACAGGCCGCTTTTTGGTCAAAACCAGGCCATTTCCACCTGGAGTGTCTTTGCGCCCTGTTTTTCACCTCCCCTGCCTTCAAAATTGTTGGCCTTACCTTTCAGTTCCAGCCCGCGGGGCTAGCGAAAGTAAGTCCTGCGCTTGGCCGAAGGGTGGACAGAGCAATGAGGGCAGGGCAGCCTCATGGTCCTGCGCAGGCTGGATTAATGGCTTCAGCAGGTCGCATGCGGACTGCAGCCATAGTTTAAGGACCCATGCCCTTAACTATAGTAGATAATTTTGACTCCCATCTGTAAAAAAACACCAAAAATCTATTTCTAGGAAATCACTTTCTGTGGCTTTTCCTGGGACTTTTTGCCATTATGCTTAGAGCAAGCCAACTCAATTTTGAAACAGGAATTCTAGATGTACAAGGCAAGTTGGATTATGCTGCTTATAGACTAGTTATCTGGACAAGATCTCTGCTTTGATCAGTTTATATTGTCTTGTTCTAACGGTGTCCCCACAGCATTATTGGAAGGAAACCCTGTTACTAACGATAGTACTCCTGTGATGTAAATGGAAAATAAACTGCAACTCACATTCTGTTATTTTCTTAGTTCCATAGCAACATTTGTATACAATTGATTTCTCCTCTTCTATCTAAATTTCCAAGACATTTTGATTTATTCAAATGTTAAAATTACCTATTCAAAAATTTTTGTGTCCTTAAATGTTGCCAACTTTTGTTATATACCTATAAACTCTCCAGCTTAGTATGAACTAATTGCTAATCGATATGCAATGTTTTTCTATGGCAATGTTCTTTTTCCTTTTGAGCTATTATCTATCTGCCTTCAGTTTAATATTATGTTGTTAGATCTATTCACTTAAGATGAACTGAACATTTCAAATTAATGGAATTGTTTGATTTTGAGTTTTAATACTGATCGGGATAATATATGTAATACATTGCCTTATTGTTTTGAAAGATTTCGAGAGCGCCTGGGTGTAAAGGTAGTAAAGGCTCTTAAAAGGAACAATGATGGAGTTACGCATGCTTCCATTGATATGCTTTGTGCCCTGATGTGTGTAAGTACTTTTGTATAGTAGAATATTTGTGATGAAATTTAGAGGAAGTGATTCTTAAAATGAAGGGGTTTACAAAATGCTGAACTGGATTCAATTGTGTTGTTTCATCTGGACAATCCGATACATGATTTAAATAGCTTTCACCAATTTAATTTCCTCTATACAGTATGTGTAATTCATATACAATTAACATATCTTCAAATCAGTATGGGCGGATTTTGGAGAGACTAGTTAGATCAGTAATGGCAAACATGCCGGCACCCATAATGCAATGTGCGCCCCCATTTGTGCATGCACCCATGACCCCCGTGCTCCCCATGCTCCCCCTGTGCATGCGCCCCACACAAAATGTGCACATGCAGCCTTACATGCGTAGTGCGTATGCACTATGCAGGCGCCCCCCCTTTTTTTCCAAGAGGGCCGGCGTGCCTCTTACCAGAGGACAACCAGGTACCGGCCTGTTCCCTGTTGAGGCAGCGGTTCCCCGGGCGGTGGCAGCACTTTTGGCCCCGCCACCTCGGCAGTGCCATGTGCTGGCCGGGAAAGTTCTAAACGCATGGGCTTGCCTAGGCTCCTCCCCGCTGTTTGGTGGAACAGCTGGTGAGGGTGGGGTGGTAGTGCTGGTGGGCTGCCTGCGCAGATGACCCTGTGGCCGCTGTCAAAGGGGGACCAAGATGCTCCTCTTGGCTCCTCCATCAGCCGCACGGATCCCCTGGGCTGTGGGTGTTGCTGTGCTGATTCCAGCATTTCTCCTGCGCAGCCCCACTGCCTAGAAGAGCAGCGGCAGCTGCAGGGGGAAGGGTAAGAGCGACCAGCCTGCTCAGGCACACGGGCAGCATTTGCTGGCTGGCCGGCCAGCTGTCCCGCCTACTGCTCCTTCTCTGGTGTTGGCTCAGCCGGTGGCACAGCAGTGTGTGTGGCGGGGATCAGGCGACAGGCCCAGCTGCAGGTAGCATGGCACCCCACCCAATCCCACTGCTGCACTGTCAGGCGAGCTGAGCCGGGCTCTCTAGCTGCTGCAGGGGAAGATGGCGACGCCCATAGCCCATGCCGGGGAAGGAGCAGCGGGCGGGGCAGCCGGCCGCCCAGCCAGCAAATGCTTCCCCATGTGCCTGAGCAGGCCAGTAGAGGAGCCCAGGCAAAGCTACATGTTCAGAGGTTCCCTGGCCAGCGCATGGTGCTGCCAAGATGGTGGGCCCAAGAGCACTGCTGCTGGCCGGGGAATGGCGGCTCCCAGCGGGGAGGAGCCCAGGCCATGGGGTCATCTGCACAGGCAGCCCACCACCTCCCCGGCTGCTGGTCCCCCGATGGTCCGGACCGCCTGGGGCCGCGCAAGATGCCTGCGTGGGCAGGGAGGGAGGGAAGCCCTGATTTACCTTGCTCTGCTCCCTTAGGAAGTGACCACCGGGATCCCCTCTCCGTGTCTTTTGATATGCGTGCCTGTTGCTGGTCTTCTCGCGTGTATGCATGCCAGAAACCAGACCAGCTGGCCGGTGCACATGCGCACTCTGGAAACAGGAAGATAATCTTCCTGGAGCGTGCATGTTCAATGGGCGGCTGCTATTCTGGTTTCCGGCATGCCCGTGCGCAGGAAAACCAGCTGCCTGATGCACCGGAACCCAGAAGAGCAACGGGTGACGGCTCTGCATGCCCGGAGAAATGGTTCTATGTGCCACTTCTGGCAGGCGTGCCATAGGTTCGTCATCACAGAGTTAGATCATCATGATTTAACCTACAAAAGAGGGCAATTTTAAGAAAAGTATTTGCTTTTTTCAATTAAGCCAAGAGGGTTGCAACTTTACTTTCTCTTTGGGGACGCAGCTAGGAAGAAAAAAACTAAAGGAATTAGGGTTAAATTTCAGAAAGTTGGCATTGTTTTTAAACTTGTGACCTCACTGACATCTTGTGCTAGTTGTAATGGAAAGATTTTGAATTAAAATTGCTATGTAAGATGGATTGATGCCTGTATTACATCATTTCAATATTATATTTGTTTTATAAAATTATTGGAGACTTAATATGTTTCCATTTTTATGATTTTTACATTACAATTTACATAATTGTATCTTTATATTAATGATATATTTTTATCCATAGCCTATGCATGATGACTATGACTTGAGGCAAGAACAGTTAAACAAGGCATCACTTCTTTCTTCAAAGAAGTTCTTGGAAAACTTGTTGGAGAAATTTAATTCCCATGTGGTCAGTGTTTTACATGACTCAAATATTTAAAAATTATGTGTTTGAGAGATGCAGTGAAAGGGCCTCTTGATTAGATAGCTCAGAAATTTGAAGATTTTCAGTTTTACTGCGTCATAATTTTTAGAAGGGGCAAGATGCTGCACATTGATTTTATGGTTCTATTGTGTTACAATTATGTCTGCAATTATATTTGAAAAATCAGGTGATAAGTAAATTGTGTAGTGCCCATAAGCATCAAAAATCTATAAACACTTCTTTGAGTATCCCTTTGTGCTGTATGACTTTATATTTTAAATGCTATCTAAATTAAAAAATGATAAGCTAGCATATTACAAAGTAAAAACAGCCAGCATAAATTGTTGTTCTGAGAGAGATGTGCCTACAAGAATTCAACTTCTTGGAAATATTTATTTAATTTTATTGAATAACTATATATAATCATAAGCTGTTTTGGAGTCATCCAGACTGAAGTGTCTTATAAATAAATTGATGTATGACTCCAAGATTTGTTTTAGGGGTTTCCATCTCATCTTCTCTGAAAGGTATCAAATACACTTCTGCTAAAAAGGTGTTTTCTAATTAGTATCTGTTAATATGACCATTTTGTGACTAGATAAACTTTCCTATTGTTGTTTTCTGAGCATACCAACAGTGTATGTTTAACATTAGAAATGTGCCTATCTGAAAAGCTTACTTGTCTGTTTTTTAAAAATTCTGAGATAATTGAAATCAAATACCTAATGAGATATCACCTAGTACTGTAGTTGTATAATAGAAGGTGAATATAGTTGTTGAAAGCAAAGAAGTAACTGCAATCACTACAGATTGTTTTATTGATATTTTTTTGAAAATTAACCATAATATCTTATGGAGTGAATTTTAATCCTTTTTGAAGATAAATTATGACCAGCAAGGACAATAGCTTGTGCATATAAATTGGACATAATTTAACAGTATAAATGAAGTAATTTCTTTTACGGACAATTTTAATAAGGAGTTTATTCTTTTTAATGACCTGGGCTCTTTGGAATGTGTTTTTTGCATGCAGCAGTGGTGGGTTTCAATTTTTTTTACTACTGGTTCTTTAGGCGTGGCTTGGTGGGCATGGCAGGATACTATAAAATCTCCATTCCCACCCCACTCCAGAGGAAGGATACTGCAAAATCCACATTTCCTCCCAATCAGCAGGGACTCGGAAGGCAGAGAATAGATGGGGGCGGGGCCAGTCAGAGGTATTTACCAGTTCTCCGAACTACTCAAAATTTCCGCTACTGGTTCTCCAGAACTGGTCAGAACCTGCTGAATACTATCTCTGGCATGCAGCATATGCCTACTGAAGTAAAGAGAGAAATTTCCAGAATCAGAAGCGATAGGTTTGATTCTGTCTGCTGTTCCTTTGGAGTTAAAGTGATAGTCTTATATTCAGCTCATCTTCCTTTGTAGTAAAAAGAATAGTTCATTAAGTATTCAACTTTTTTCTGTGAAATCTTTTAAAATGAATACATTTTTCATTTCTAGGAATATGGAACAGGTGCCCTAGTTATTAGTTCGCTTCTGGACTTCCTTACTTTTGCACTTTGTGCTCCTTATAGTGAAACAACAGAAGGGCAGCAGTTTGATATGTTATTAGAGATGGTTGCATCTAATGGAAGAACCCTCTTCAAGCTCTTTCAGGTTAATATGGTGTTAAGAAACATTTCAGAAATTATTTAATTTTGTTCCCATTGTTAATTGTACACTTTATATGGATTGAACTTTTTAATTTGATTACATCAAACTAACAAAAAAAATATGCATGCGAAATATCATGTAACTTCATGACTTGGGACTAGGTTAGTTGAAGGATTGTGTCTCTTCCCAGTTGTTTCTACCTCTCCAATCTGCTCAAGCTGGCATTCTTCAGGTCCTGACGGATAAAGAATGCCAATCAGCGGGGCCTAGATGTACCTTTTCTTCTATAGCATCTCCCTTAAGTAATCTTCTCCTTCTGGAGATCACAGTGGCCCTGACCTTACTGGTTTTTTGAAAATCCTTAAAGAAGTGGCTCTCTGCTCAGGGCTTGGGGCCCCAAGTGTATAAGAGATGTGTTTTGTGGTTAATTTTTGGCTGTGGTGTACTTTAATGTTTGTGTTATTTTAATTATTTCTAATTTTAAAACTTTATTCACTGACCAGAATCACCTGGTGAGATAGACAATCTTATAAATTAAATAATAAATGCTTCAGAATGAATATTATAAAGAAGGAAAATAATATTGTAAATGGAATGTATAACTTGCATACATTTGCATTAGATTTTTCAAGAACAAATAAAAATCTGATTTGTTGCTGAAAATTGAAGGTAGATTTCTTTCTCCAGCATTGATAATTCTTGTATCCATCTCCTATGTGGAAAAATCCACAATTTGTATTTTTTTAATGGATTCTACTCCCTCACATCCCAATTTGCTATGAAATAATTTAAAATGGACAAAAGTAAATGGCATCTACTATACTTTATTCCATGACTCAATTCTTTGCTTTTGATGTTTTAACATATTTATTTATTTATTTATGAGGACTCAGGGCGGTGTACAGCCAGAATTAAAAAACATGCAGGACAAATATTAAAAAACAATTAAAAGATATATAAATTTGGCCCAATTAAAACTCACTACCCATTAAAACATTTAAAACATTTAAAAAACATTTAAAAATTTCTTCTTAAGCCAGCCCGGCTTGCTTGAAAAAATGGGTTTTAAGGGCACGACGGAAGGCACTGAGGTCCTGGATTCTCCTTATCTCTGGGGGGAGCTGATTCCAGAGGGTAGGTGCCCCCACAGAGAAGGCCCTCCCCCTGGGGGTCACCAGCCTACACTGTTTGGCTGATGGCACCCCGAGGAGGCCCTCTCTGTGGGAGCGCACGGGTCGATGGGAGGTCGTCGGTAGCAGCAGGCGGTCTCGAAGATAGCTAGGCCCTATGCCATGGAGCGCTTTGAAGGTGATAACCAGCACCTTGAAGCGCACCCGGAAGACCACCGGGAGCCAGTGCAGCTCGCGCAGGAGCAGTGTTACATGGGAGCGCCATGCTGCTCCCGTCACTACCCGCGCTGCTGCGTTCTGGACCAGCTGGAGCCTCCGGGTGCTCCTCAAGGGGAGCCCCATGTAGAGAGCGTTACAGTAGTCAAGGCGAGAGGTGACGAGGGCGTGAGTGACTGTGCACAGGGAATCCCGATCAAGAAAGGGCCGCAACTGGCGAATCGGGCGAACCTGACAAAAGGTCCCCCTGGTTACAGCCGTCAGATGTTCCTCCAAGGACAGCTGCATATCCAGGAGGACTCCCAGATTGCGAGCCCTCTCTGTGGGGGCCAATGACTCGCCCCCCCAATAGTCAGTGATGGAGTCGGGATGCCGGGAGCCACAGCCACTCAGTCTTGGAAGAGTTGAGCTTGAGCCTGTTCCTCCCCATCCAGACCCGCACAGCCTCCAGGCACTGGGACATCACTTCAAGGGCATATCCTTGTAAATATTACATGTTAAACATAGACAAATAATTTCTCATTATTTAAAGCAGTCCACAGGTTTATAAGAGCAGGCCACTCAAACGGTTGTATAAATAAGTAATACCAATTTTACAGACTTTTTCCATTAATAATCAAGTCTGAAGAAGGTGATCCCGGACCTCCGGACCTTCTGTAAAGCCCTGAAGACGTTTTTATTCCACCAAGCCGGCCTAGCCTAAATGGTTTTTAATTGGTATTTTAAATTTTATGGATTTGGGGGTTTTAAATTGGGAAGCTAATGATTTAATTCTTTTTAATTATCTTAACTTTTGTATTTGTATGTTTTTTAATTTTGGCTGTTCACCGCCCTGAGTCCCCTCTGGGAGAAGGGTGGTATACAAAATAATAAATAAATAAATAAATAAATAAATAAATAAATAAATAAATAAATAATAAATTTAAAAACAATTACCATAATATATTATTTTTCTCACATTGGGATTGTCAAGCCCTTGGAATCTACATTAAATAGGGGCTGATCTGCTATAGAACATGAAGGCTCTCAGTTGCAGTCTGTTTATCACTTAATGACAGTCAACCCCCCCCCCCCATAGTTTTAGACTAACCAATTCACTATATTGTTTTCTTATGCATTATTTTCACAGCACCCTTCCATGGCCATTGTGAAAGGAGCTGGATTGGTTATGAAGGCAATAATAGAAGTAAGGCTTATTTTAAAAGTTAAAAAATAGGGTACATTTGAGCGGTAACTTGTATAAAATAAACATATGAAAAAATGTGATGAATTCTTTATTTAACTTAATTTACTTTTCATTCAGCTAAAAGCAGTTGTTTAGAATGAACTGTGTTAGTGAAAATATTTGATTCTTCAGCACAATTTTTTGTTCTAAAGTTATTCTACCTTACAAGCAATGTACAGCTAGTCCTCGAGTTATGATTATAATTGAACCCACATTTACAGTTGTAAGTCAATATGGTAATTAATCAGGCGATTTGACATTGCGGCGAGACAGCTGGGAAAATAGCGGGCTCTGTGGAGTCCCGCAAAAAACCCAACTGCCGAACCACCGCCGATGGGTCTTTGGACCAGAACCGTCCTGCAGGGACGAGGTAGGAAGAGAGGCGCCTCGGACAACCTAGAGGAACAGGCAAGTTCCTCGGAGGTCAGAGGGAATTCTCTGTGAGTCGGCGGTGGGGGGTGGCAGCCATGGCGGCTGCCACGAAGCTGCGATAAACCGAATTAAGAGATGTGCAGGAGGAAAGTGAAAAAGAACGAAGCTCTTTGAAGCCGGGTGAGTGACACCAACCCAGCTTGAAACAACGCTAGAGCAATTATCGTTATTTGTAAGACCCCTAGCCTTAAAACAGCGGCTGTGGATTTGAGGGGCATAGAAGATTTTGCAAAGTAACTTTAGGAGGAAAAGACCCGCAAGGAAATTTACTTTGGTATTGATTCAATTGGAACAATTAAACATTGAGGCATGTTGAAAAGCCTGGAAACTTTTTTTAAATTAGAGTTGGACTTGGAAAAAAGAAAAAGAAAAAAGGTATGGATTTAATACTTTTAAACTCAAAAGAAGAAAGTTAAATTGAACTGTTATATAATTGCAACAAAATGGAGATTGGAGTGACTAAGGGAAAGTGTGGATTGCAGAGAAACACCTTCCACTTTAAAAAGAAACACTGTAACTTGCTGTTTGTCTTGGAACACTGTGAAATTACTGATAATAGCCATGAGAGTTTGGTGGTGGAGGTTTTTTCTTCGTCTACAGACAGATTTTTCGGTGGAAAGAAAGATGAAATACAACAGAACTTTTATAATTGATACTAATTGGTGCAGGAACAAAAGAAGTCAAATGGTGCAGGAACAAAAGAAGGAAAGTTGATGTACTTTGCAGGGAATAGAAGTAACAAAAAAAATTATAATGATACATGATGAATTAATTTTGGGAATATTGAATTTGAAATGGATTATAAATTGACAGACAAGGAAATGAAGGAATATAATATATACGGTTGAAAAGAAGAATATAAAAATAGCTTGATTAAAATATGAACTGTATTGTTTAGATGAATATTAATTATAAAAGAAGGTGTTTATAGATATATAAGGATGGAAAATAAAATAATGTGATTAAAATAGAAAAATGAAGTAAAGATGGATAGTATTGATAAAAAAGGAGTTTCTTATAGATGAATAAGAATATATATGAATATGAGAAGAATCCAAGAAATTTTATTGATTTATATGTGGATATGTCTGATGTATGAATTAAGCCTCAATGTTAAATTGTAAACAAAGCTGAGAAAGAATATGCTTAATGAATATGCTGGAAACAGCCTAATAATAGATGAATATGCTGGGAAACAGCCAAAACAATATAGAGATGTGTATACTGGGTATAACAGTAAAACAAAGATGAATATGCTGGGAAATAGCCAAAATAGTATGAATATGCTGGGAAACAGCCAAAACAATAGAGGATTATGCTGGGAAACAGCCAAATAATAACTGAATATGCTGGAAAAAGCCAAAACAAATAGATATGCTGGGAAACAGCCAAATAATAACTGAATATGCTGGAAATCAGCCAAAAGAAAATGATTAAGAGACAAATAGTTAAAATAAATATGATTTAAGTTGGAATTGATAGTAATAATAAAATGATTATGTTGGGATTAGCATCAAATATAAAGGGGACTATGTTGATATGAATAATAAAATGAAGATGATAAGATTGTTATAATGAAATGATTCTGTGTATAATGAAGAGTGCAATGTGTGATAAGGTTAAGAAATATAGGTGTAAATTTAAAGAGATTAGGATTTAAAGATTTAATGTAATGGGTCATAGGATGGGCATTTAGATAGAATTTAGGGTAAATAATTGTAATTAAATATTGAGTTGTGTTATTTGGAAATTAAGACTGGTGGTGTTTAGAATAGAATGGTAAATGTTTAGATTAAGATATTACAATTGTGGGGGAAAAAATTGTTTTGGTTTTTATTTTAAAAGATGTAATGGTGGAGATTTGGGAAAGAGCTTGATAAAAAGGGGTAAACGATTATATCTATTCATGACCAGATCAATGCTCTGTTCTTAAAAGATGTATTTTATGTTTATATTTTAAAAAATAATTTTAAAAAATTCAAAAAAAATATGGTAATTAATCAGGTCGTCATGTGATTACATCCAATTTTACAACCTTTTTTGTGGCAGTTCTTATGACTGCATCAGTCATAAAGCCACGATACAGTACTTAAGTGAATCCATTGTTTGTTATGCATCATTTTTGCCAGAAACTGAAGAAAATGATGCAACTGCAGAACACTGAAAATGGGCTTAAAATGGGTGTAAGTGCAGGCTAGTTGCCTACCCTCCAAAATAAGACTGAGGGGGGGGTGGCCATCAGAATTTCAAATTTGGGTTCTAAATACCTTTTTTAGATTCATTGTAATTTTAAGGTCAAGGACTACCTGCATAAACAGGATTAGAGATATGTTTTTTTTTCCCCTTTGGTTTTGCAAAATTCATCTAGCCATAACCCATGTCTAGTTCTACATTATGTTGTTCTGGTAATTATTTGGCAGTTTCAAGAAGTAAATCCTCTTACCAAGAAATGGTTCGAGAAGTTCTGGACATGGTAATCAGAATTAAATTCACAGCCCTTCAGATTTACTCCTGGAAATCACCAAATTGCCCAAGAAATGTCATGAACTGGGAGAAGATTTGGCATGGTGCAAAGGGAAAAAAACAACAGTTTAGAATTTTCTGGAACATTCTCTTCCATGATTAATATAATTCTTTATATTGCTATTTTTTCTTACAGGGAAGTTTTTGACAGCAGGTGAACTTCAGCTGTTAAAACCTTTATATGGCAATATTTGTGAAAATATTAATGGATATTAGACATTGCAAAAAATAACATTACCTTTTATGGTCTTAATGTATTCCAGGAAACTTCTTGAATTATTTTGTAATTTTTGTATGATGAGAAAGTATTCCTTTTTCCAAGGCTACTTTTGTATTTTTAAAGATGAAATAATTATATCAGTTATATTCAGATTTGCTTCAGATGTTCCTTGTCACAGTGGAAATAAAAACAAAAGTATTGATATGAGCAATTAGCTTTACATTTTAATATTAACAGTGTTTTATGTGCAGGTAGTTACTTCTAAACTGTAAAATAATTGTTTTTTAAATTTTATTCCATTTTTCCCAAAGGAGGGAGATAAAGAAATAGCAACTAAAATGCAAGAACTTGCTCTCAGTGAAGGTGCCTTACCTCGCCACTTGCATACCGCTATGTTTACTATAAGCACTGATCAAAGGATGCGTACCAATAGGTGAGTCCAGACTTAAATTACTTGTTTAAATGTTCTAAGGCCTTTTGTGCAGTGATCTTTGTTTTTTATACTGAAACTGATTGCTGTAGAAGGTCTATATGCTGAAAAAATATACATTCATTACTTTTCTATCTCTTCCCAATTGTTTGTTAGATTTATACCTCACCTTTATTTTATACAACTTAAGGCAGCATCTATAATGCTTCTTATTTTCTCCACAGTAACAGCCTATCGTGTAGGCTTGGATTGAGAGTGAACAATATCACCCAGCCAGTTTCCGAATCTGAGGGAGGACTAGTATTTATACTCTCCCAGTTTTAGAACTTTAATCATTGCATTAAATGATTACAATTATTTCTACTATAGTATTGAATACAATCCTTGACTTGCAAACACAATTGAGCCCAATTTTTTTGTTGTTAAGCAAGATATTTATTAAATGAATTTTGCCCCGTTTTATGATCTTTTTTCCATGGTTAAGTGAATCTCTGCACTTGTTCAGTTAATAATACGGTGGTGAATCTGGCTTCCCCATTGGCTTTGCTTGTAACAATGTTGCAAAAGATGGTCACATGATCCTGTCATAAATACATGCCCGTTGTCAAGTGTCTGAATTTTGATCACATGGCCATGGGGATTCTGCAATAGTTGTAAGTATGAAAAATGGTCACAAGTCACTTTTTCAGTGTCATTGTAACTTCTAAAGGTCACAAAATGAATGATTGTAAATTGAAGACTACCTATACTGTCTGGACTATTTTTCAGTTGGTGCTTGCCTTTGGTAGTCATTTCCCACAGTGATCTATCTCCCTTTCTTGTTGGCTTGGGATTGTTCTTCCCTTACATTGATATCACTACCAGCAGTATTATCTTCTTATTAAACTAAACAATTTCTACTACTACTACAATCTAATTTACATATAGAGTTCACAGAAGCTGCATTCTTTTAAACTGGGGACCAAATTATCCTGCCAAATCCCTGTCCTATTTTTATTTCTAGTAAAACACCTAGACACATCATTTTGGAAATTGATAGATTGAAAGCTGTTGTAATGTGTAGTAGGTAGTAAGTTGTCTTTTAACATTGATTGGGTTTTTAAAAATACAATGTTTCTGAATCACAAGAGTTTAGAATGAGGTAGATTACACAGCAGTTTTTTTTTTATTGCAAAAGTTTTACAATTACATTTTCACCCCTTTTTCCCCCCACCACCACCCACCCCAAACTTCCCAACCTCCCTAACCCTCCCTAACCCTCCCCTCCCCCCAGACTTCCCTATATTATACTCATATCTGGTAAAAAAAATTAAAAAAACCCTTAATATAAAACTTGTATAAAAACTTGAACCCCTCCCTCCCCTTTATAATTTTTCTATTTACCCTCATTACATTAAAATATTTCTAATACATTATTTTCAAATAAAAGCTATTTGATACTTTCTAGTTTGATATTTGTTCTGAACATATTCTATCCACTTTTTCCATTCCCATTCATAAGTCTCTTGTGAACAATCTTTTAAGTATGCTGAAATCTTCGCCATCTCTGCAAAACTGGCCATCTTCAAAGTCCATTCCTCAATAGTGGGCAAAGCTTCATTTTTCCAATATTTACCTATCAACAATCTTGCTGCTGTTATCATATACAATATCAGTTTTGTTTCACCCAATGTAAAACCCTTAACTATACCCAATAAAAACAATTGTGGAAAGAATTGAATTTTTTTCTTCAAAACATTCTGCATGACCCACCAAATTTTTATCCAAAAAGCCTTAATTTTCCTATAGGTCCACCAAACATGATAATACGTAGCATCCAAACATTCACATCTCCAACATTTTGGCTGAACATTGGGGTACATACATGACAACTTTTTGGGATCTAAATGCCATCTATAAAACATTTTATAGAAATTTTCCCTCAAATTCTGCGACTGAGTAAATTTAACATTCTGAACCCAAATTTTTTCCCATGTTTCCAACATCACTGGTTCTTCAAAATTTTGTGCCCACTTAATCATACAATCTTTAACTAATTCAGTTTCTGAATCCCTTTCTAACAAAACATTATAAAGCCTTTTGATATGCATTGGACCTTTCTCTTTTATATGTCTAACCAATTCTTCCTCGTGCAACATAATACCAGTTTTTTGGTCCTCTTTCCATCTCAATTGTAATTGATTATATTGTAACTAAGTTAGATTAATCCCTTCGTCCAACAGTGTCTGCAATGTCTTCAGCTGCCATCTGCCCGCATCTGTAAAAAGAACCTCTTTGTATAAAACCCCCCCGAGTGACATTATATTTGTATTCCACAAAATATGACCAAGATCCAGCCATAACGGTATTTTATAATCCCATTTGAATCAGTGCTTCTTCCAAACTCTCATCAAAGAGTCTCTAAATATATGGCTTTTAAATACTTTATCAACTTTGTCATCATAAAATAAGTAGGCATGCCATCCAAATTCAAGATCAAAACTTTCTGCATTCAATATTCCAGTCTTTTTCCTTCCAAACCAATCACTTGTTAAAGTTAAAGCTGCTGCATCATAATATAACTGTAGGTTTGGAAGTTTAAGACCTCTCTCTTTCTGGAACATCTTGCATAATTTTCAATTTCACTCTCGGCTTTTTCTCGTTCCAGACGAACTTATTCACTCCAGTTTGCCAGACTTTCAATTGTTTATCACTTTTAAGCACCGGAATCATTTGAAACAAAAAAAGAAATCTTGGCAAAATGTTCATCTTAACTGCTGCTATTCTTCCAAGTAGAGACAGCTGCAGTTTTTTCCAAGTCTCCGTGTCTTTCTGCACCTCTCGCCACAACACCTCATAATTATTTTGAAACAATTTCATGTTTGATTCTGCAACCTGAACTCCTAGATATTTTACCTTTGGTACAATCTCAAAACCTGCCCTCCTTTCAAGCTCATGTTTACGATCTTGTGTCATGTTTTTAGCTATCATTTTAGTCTTTTTTGGATTCAGTCTAAAACCTGAAACTTTACCATAGTCTTGTATAATGTCCTTCATCAGGATTATTGATTCCATTGGCTGTGATAGGGTAACAACCAGATCATCTGCAAATGCCTTTATTCTGTAATCCTCTTGCCTAATCATTATACCTTTCAGGATATTAGAGTCCCGTATTGTATTTAGCAAGACTTCTAGTGTTAAAATAAATAAAAGTGGGGACAGCAGACATCCCTGTCTTGTTCCTTTTTCAATTTTGAACTCTGTTGTCAAACTTCCATTAATAATGATCTGTGCCTTTTGCTCTTGGTAAATTGCTGAAATCGCCTGTATAAATTGATCCCCAAAGTCCATCTTTTTTAAAGTCTTTAGTAGAAAATTCCAATCCACTCTATCAAAGGCCTTCTCTGCATCCAAAAAGACCAGCACTGCAGGAATCTGTTTATTCTTCTCAAGATATTCCAATAAATCTATTACTTGCCTTGCATTATCCTTCATGTATCTGCCCTCGATAAATCCCGCTTGATCATCATGAATCACCTTTTGGATTACTGGCATCAACCTGTTGGCTAATACTTTCGCATAGATTTTATAGTCTGTATTCAAAAGAGATATTGGTCTGTAATTCTCTGGTTTTTTAGGACCGACTTGTTCTTTTGGTATCAAAGATATATAAGCTGTTGTCCATGATGGGGGTATTTTACCCCCTTGTTGAATATTGCAAAATAAATCTCTAAGTTGTTCCACCATTTCAGCTTGCAAAGTTTTGTAATACACTGCGGTCAAACCATCCGTGCCAGGAGCTTTGGCTGTTTTTAACTGTTTAATTGCTACTATTATCTCCTCCTCTGTTATAGGATAATTCATTCTTTCCTTTTGTTGATCAGTAATTTTTGTAACTCTTTTATCGTTTAAATATTTTTCTATAAATCCATTCTGCACCTCCTCTTTGGCATATAGTTTGGTATAACAGTCCACAAAAGCTTCTTTAATTAATTTTTGTTGAAAGATTTCTTTCCCTCCAATATCAATACTATCAATAGTCCGTATACTTTGTTTTTTCCTCAATGTGTAAGCCAACCATCTGCCCGGTTTATTAGCATTACAAAATGTATTATGCTTCGCATATTGTAAGTTTGTTGCAACTTGTTCCGCCATAAGCATTTGAAATTGGTCTTTCAAAAGTTTTATAGCACTGCATATTCTTTCATCTGTTGGATTTTTAATAAGTAACTGTTCTTTATTCTTTATTTCTATTTCCAATTCAGTTCTTTTCTTTTGTCGAATCATTCTATGTTTAGAGTTCATTTAGATAAGCACCCCTCTCATATAAGCTTTACTTGCATCCCACACAATTTCTATTGGGGTACCTTTATTCAAATTTATTTCAAAAAATTCTTTCAAGTGCTTTTTAAGTTCTGTTGTGTTTTTTTCATATCTGAACAAGTTCTCATTTAATCTCCAAGAACGTCTCTCAATCTTATCCATCTCAATTTCTATCCATACTGGGCTATGGTCAGTCAAAGTTCTTGGAAAAATCTTTGTTCTTTTTGTCTTGACAAGTAAATCATCTGACAACAAAATGAAATCAATCCTAGAGAAGGATCTATGTCTATCTGAAAAAAAAGTATAGTCCAGTTCTTTTGGGTTGTGTATTCTCCAAATATCTTTTAGTTCCAAATCTTCTTTCATATCAAAAAAGGTCTGAGGTAACCTAATCCTAGATTTCGCTGAACTCCTTTTGTCTAATTTAGAGTCTATTACTCCATTCCAGTCTCCCATGATTAAAATAGATCTATAGTCCCATTGTAGTATTTTAGTATGTAACATTTTATAGAAATAATCCTGTTGTTGGTTGGGAGCATAAATTCCTATCAAAAGAATTTGGCCATATGTTGTAAGTAATTCAATTGCTACAAACCTACCATCTTCATCTGTTTCTATAACTTTAGCCGTAAATTTCTTATTTACATAGATAACCACACCATTCTTTTTTTGCAACGTTGAAGATATAAAGTGTATTCCTAGTTTGGAGTTTATCAAGTATTTTTGATCTTGAACTGTAATATGCGTTTCTTGTAGACAAATTATATCATTATTAAATTGTTTCAAATATATAAATAATTTCTTCCTTTTCTGTGCTGAATTCAACCCATTCACATTCCAAGATAAACACTTAAGCGTCATCTTCATCTTTCTGGAGCAAAGAGCAGAATAACCGAATATCATCCAAAATCTTCGGAGTCGCTCCCCCCATGGCTCCAGTCTCTTGTATAGTAGTCTTAGCTCCCTTCTTGTCTTGTCTTTCCTGTTGTTGATTACACAGCAGTTTTAATTTGGAAGATAGTTGAAGATTCTGAATAGTTGCTGAGCAATAATACTGTTGGAAGACTGTTGTCTTTGAACGTCATTTTTTTTTTCTAATAAAATGTTTTTTTCACTTTAATTCTTAGACAGCTGAGTAGACATCTAGTGGGTCTTTGGACAGCTGAAAATACAACTGCTTTGAACTTACTGAAGCGTATCTTGGTAAGTGAAAATGTTTCTCAAGAAGGCCTTTTTATTTATGACACTTCAGCCGTTTCTCAGCAGTAGACATTTTACAGTAAATAGCCTTATGAAAAGTATTCTAGTAGAAATGTTTGTTATATATTTTTAGATTGGTAAACATTAGCCAAGGCCTAGAACAAGGGTCTGCAACCTTAAACACTCAAAGAGCCATTTGGATCAGTTTCCCACAGAAAAGAAAACACTGGGAGCCACAAAACGGGGGTGGGCGTGGCCAACTCAACATCACTCACTCCCACCCAGTCACATGACTGTCTCTTTCTCTCTTTCTCTCTCTCTCTCTCTCTTTCCCCCGCTCTTTCTCTCTCTCTCTGTCTCTGTCTCTTCTCTCTCTCTCTCTTTTCCCTCTGTCTCTCTCTTTCCTTCCCTCCCTCTCTCTCTTCCCCCCACTCCCCTGGGAGGGGCAAGGAACCCCTGAACTGGTGCTGGGTGGTGAGAATCTGACGTCCGGAGGCCAACAAGTCCAGGAGCAGCATACTAACAATCAGCTGGTTGTCGGAGAGCTGAATACCAGCTGGCCAATGAGGAGGTGGGACTTCACAACACCAGCGGCTCTGCAGGAAAATCAACCGACATCCGGGAGGCGAGAGCGAGCCAATGACAATGCAGGGTCGCATTGTGACTCCACGTCGTAATGGGCTCCAAGAGGAGGGGACCCTGTCTCCCCCATTGTGAAGCATGCTAAATTTCACTGTGCTGCACAAGGTGTTGTGAGAGCAGCGTACAGGTCATGGAGGCAGCAACAGCAAATGTACCATGACGAAGGTGGAATGCTGTTTCAGCAAGTGCAGGGGCGCTTCACTCCCACACTAAGGCTCCAGTCATTGCCACTGCTGCTACAGGGTGATAGCTCTTTCATTTCTCTGCTGCAACAGGGTGACAGGGACCTGCAGCAGAGGGATGAAAGACCCGCATGTGGCTTTGTAGCTGCAGGTTACCGACACCTGGCCTAGAAGATCTCTTACAAATGCAAGAACACTTCTGCAGTACTATGGCTGTAGATTTTCAAATAGCAAGTCATTGCACTAACAGAAGTTACTAGATGAGTTTTCCATGTTTCAGCAAAAGCATGTTAGACAGAGCTAGAAATAGTTTTCAGTATGAAAGATGCCTCTGAATTGTACTATAAATATGGAATTAGCAGCAGAGCTTTTTCCATCACTCAATTATAGTAATATCATGTTCAAACCATTTTATAAATTTATTTCTCAAAACATGAGTCCTTTGCCCCCACTGCTGGGCCTATCTTTTAAACTGAGAATTCTCATAGATGGGATTAAAAAAGCAAAAACAAAAAAAACACTAGTGTAACTAAGGTATAATTAGGCATAACTAAGCCCCATATAGCCTTTTTATTCTTGACCGTTTCTAGTAGATTGTTTGTTGTTTGTTTGTTTATTTTTTTTATTGAATTTATATTGCCGCCTATTTGCATATGGTGACTCAAGGCGGCTTATAGAATATAAAACATCATTTTAAAAAACAAAACTAATAAGAGATCAAATAAATTAATATAATATAAAATCACCCCAACAACTGCAGATCATACGATATGGGGAAATTTTCTCAAAAAGGGGAAATCTTTGCAGTTACATCAACCTCAAATTAAAATTAAAAACCTCCTCAAAATAGAAGTAGGAGGGATGCAGAAAGACTGGAAAAAATATAAAAAGAAAGCAAGAATGGAAGATTAACCTTTCTTTTTGGTTTGCAGTTGTTCTATTCATGGTTAAAAATGATTATGTTTTAGGTGTTATAACTACTGAGGGGGAAAAAGTATAAATTTAAATATTGATTTTTAAATATGATGCATTAATGGTTAATTAAAATGATTATTTTTTTAAAAAAAATGTAGAAACTTAAATAATGATAATGGCTAAAAATGATTATGTTTTAGGAGTTAAAAGTTGGAGGGAGGAAAAAAGACTGAGGGGGTAAACGTACAGATTATGATTAATTAAGGTTTATTTTTTGTTTTAAGATTTTTAAAATATTTGAGAGTAAGAATGTAAGATTAATCTTTTTTGGTTTTCTAGTTTATGTATTAATGGTTAATTAAAACGTTGATGTTTATGTTTTAAAATTTTGAAAGTTGGAGGGAGGAACAACGAAGGGGGAAAATGTAACTATTGAATATTTAAGGCTTATTTTTTGTTATAAGATTTCAAAATATCTGAATTTTGAGAAAAGTAGGAGGGGAAAAATGTTTTTGTAAATGAATTGAATACCTTATTGATATATTAAGAGAATTTTTAAGGTTTGAATGCTTAATATTTGTTAATGGTTTTGATACTCTTAGAGTTATTGGATTATTTGCTACTTTGAGTCTATAAAAAGGGAGGTTGATGAAATTGTAAGAGGGGAGTTAAGGGGTCTTGGGAGCTATTAAATCTTGCAGTTAGCTAGTTTATTTTAGCGAATGTTTGGTGAAATCTATGCCCTGTTTTTGTTCTGGGAAGTCGGGGGTGGTGGGTGGTGAGGAGGGGTTGAAGATTGAGTTTAGAGATGGATTATGGATTTAAAAAATTTTTTTCTTTTTTTTTTTGATGATAGTTCGAATGATTGCTTATATTGTATATTTGTTTGATCATAAAATAAAAACTTTTCTTTTAAAAAAAAACAGCAGATCATACGAGTATTGATAATGTTGAAATGTTTTTAGAGAATGTACTGTAAGATACATGAAAATCCCTACCTATGGAGAAACATTTCATGATAATTACCACTCTGTGATGTATGGAAAATGAGACAACTTCATAAAATAGCATTAAAATATCTGATTAAAAATAACAGTTGAATAAAATAAAGATGTATATTATGTGTGTCAAATAGTAATTGATGCTTAAATTTGTAGAAAATTATAAAAAATCTTGAATTAATTTTAAGTTTTGATAAGTGATGTAATTGCATTTGATGCTTTGTGTTCATCATTTGTATGTATGTGGCTTTAGCCATCAGGTTTACTTGCTTACTTGGACAGTAATGACCCTGTTCCGGAAAAGGACTGGGATCGGATGCATATTAGGGATAACTTAAAAATTGCAAATGTGAGTATGAAATTTTCCTTTTGAATTGTTTTACTGTACATCTGATTAAAAATATCATGGCTTTAGTGAAGGTAAAAATGATTTAGCTCAGTTTTCATTATTTCTGTGGATAATTGATTTCTATAAATTAATTTTGGTGATTGATGAACTTTCCTCTATAGGATCAGTATGGGAAGTTTAATAAAGTGCCAGAATGGCAACGACTTGCAGGAAAAGCTGCTAAAGGGGTTGAAAAATTTGCTAAAGAGAAGGTGGATTTGGTTTTGATGCACTGGCGAGACAAAATGGGAATAGCACAAAAAGAGGTATAATACTAATTTTTTGTGTTCATGATAATATGATTTCATTTCAGTTGTTTGTCTAGATGTGTTTGGTTGTGTTGATTTCATAGGTGACTGAATGTATTATCAATATATTCTTATCTACAGAAAAATTGAAGATAGTTTCTTCTATTAAAGGTGATGCCTAATCAACCCTACTATTTTCTTGATACTGGGAAATTGGTATTTAAAATAACTGCTGTTTATAAAGGTGAAATATAAATTTAAGGGAACATCTGTATAATTTGAGTAGTTAATATATTTAGGTGTATGAAAATATCTCTGTATGACAAATTCTCAATTTGTTTTCTTCCATCCTTCTTTGCTTTCCTTCCATCCTTCTGCTATTTATGTATTTATGTACCTTTTTGATGGTACATAAATTGTTATGACTTTTTATGTTACACAGTTGTGATCTGATTTATACTCTGTTCTTAGCCATAATGTGATTTATGTTTTGGCTGAATAGTCTGTAAGTAAAGCATGGTTTTCTTCTGAAGAGGGAGTTGTGCAAGATGCTAATCCAAAAACAAACCAATTTCAATATGGATTAGTGTGCTAAATATATGATGTTTGATGTTGACATAATAGAAATGGATAGAAGCATTGTAAGTAGTCTTATTATCCATTCGGTTCAGAGTACTAGATATATCAACTTATGAAATTACGAGTATGACTAACATATATTATGCAATTTCAATTGTGGCTACAACTAAAGTTCTAGGCCTGTGATGGCGAACCTATGGCATGCATGCCACAGGTGGCATGTGGAGCCCTCTCTGCGGGCACACGAGCCGTCACCCAGTCAGCTCCACTGCCCATGCGCGCACATTTCCCTCCGGCCAGCTGATTTTCAAGTCTGCCCTGCAACGGGAGATGCAGCGCTTGCGTGGGGAGACCTTCCTTTCTCCTCACTTTCTGCTGCCTGTGCCTTCGCAGATCTCTGGAGATTCCCCTCCCAGCCCTGTTTTGGGAGGCAAGGCTTTTTTCCCCTCCCAGCTGTTTTGGAGGCTTTTTCCCCCTCCCAACCATTTTGGGAGGCAAAGACTTCCTCCCCCCCCTCCCCCCCGTGCTGTTTTGGGATGTGAGGCCAAAAGCGCGGGGTTGCGCGCATGCGTGGGGGGGGACGTCGTGTGCGCATGTGGGGGTCGCATGTACATGTGGGGGAATCGCACACATGTGCAGGGGGGCGGGACATGTGGAAGGGGGCATTGCATTATGGGTGCGGGCACATGTGCGATAGCGCTCATGCACGCTTTTGGCACCTGAGGAAAAAAAGGTTAGCCATCACTGTTCTAGGCTCTTTTTTGTGGAATAAGTGGAGAAAAATGAAGACCCATTTTAGTTCATACATTTGCTATATATCCAGTTCATTAAATGACATTACATTTTCCAACGCTATTTATTTATTTATTTATTTTGTCGCATTTCTATGCCGCCCAACTCCCAAGGGACTCTGGGCGGCTTACAACAAAGAATAAAACAATGCAAACAATCCCATAAAAACAATAAAACATTAAAAACATTAAAACATTAAAAACTTTAAAAATTGCATATTGCTGATATCCCACCCCATGTCATCGGATGATTTCACCTAGTGGTTTCATGTAGATGTTAAATAAGAGGGGAGAGAGGACCGAGCCCTGAGGCACCCGCAGACGAGGGGCCTAGGGGTCGACCTCTGTCCTCCTACCAGCACCAACTGTGATCGACCAGAGAGATAGGAGGTGAACCACCGCAACACAGTGCCTCCCACTCCTAGCTCCCTTAGTCGCCCCAGAAGGATACCATGGTCAATGGTATCAAAAGCTGCTTAGAGGTCAAGTAGCACCAAGATAGAGGAATGACCCCTGTCTCGGGCTCACCAGAAATCATTCATCAGCGTGACCAAAGCAGTTTCCGTGGTGTAGCCAGGTCTGAAACCGGACTGAAAAGGGTCCAGATAATCCATTTCATCCAATGACCGCAGGAGCTGAAGTGCCACCAGTTTCTCTACAACCTTTCCCACAAAGGGTAGGTTGGAGACTGGACGAAAGTTTTTTAATTCTGCTGGGTCCAGGGAAGGCTTCCCGAGGAGGGGCCTTACAAACGCTTCCTTTAATATTTTCTATTACTTTGGCCTATGTACATCCCCCTTCCCACCAGTAGTGTGGTTAGTAGAAGTTAGAGGTATGATTTAAGTTTCTCAGCCCATAGTGCTATTATATACACATTTCTTATTTGCAGGAAATTGTTGTAAAATATTAAAACTTTTGAGAGGCATTTCTATTAAACATAAATTTTGTTTTTTTTTTATTTCCCAAATACAACTAGGATAGAAACAATATGGTGAGTCTTTATTCTTTTCTGCAAACTGCCTTGAATTACGGTAGCTTAGTGTATTGTCTATCAATATAAAATTGATTAAAACTATTGCTTGGTTAAGTTTGGCTTATTATTGATGTTTCAGCTCTATAAAAATATAGAAGTTTTCACTTGCTAACCTACCTTCTATTATGGTTATTCTTCTCCAGATTGATTGTCTTTTATTTCCAGTTATTTTCATAAACATTGTAAAGAAGTTGCTTTCTCACACACCATGTAACAACATAGTTAAGTAGTTTTATACCATACTTTTGCAGTGAATTGCTAAGACTCCATAACAGGTAGTTCTTGACTTATGACTACAACTGGGACCAGAGTTTCCTTTGTAAGTTAATGTGATCATAAAGCAAATCATCACATGACCAAACCCAATTTTACAACCATTTTTACTTTGGCCATTAAACAAATAACTGTCATTAAGTGAAGCATGGACTCATTAAGTGAATCAAACAGTTGTAAGTGAATCTGGTTTCCTCAATTGATATTGCTTGTCAGAAAGTAGCTGGGAAGGTTACAGATTATCATCACATGATCGCCAGATATTACAACCATTGTTAATGGGATCTAGTTTCCAAGTATCTGAATTGCTAAAAGTCTGTAGAGATTCTCAGTCATCCAGGTCATGGTTGTCCAAAGGTGGTTTTTCAGGAGGCAACTGGACTTTCTTGTTTCTTCTTTTGAAGACGTTTCACTTCTCATCCAAGAAGCTTCTTCAGCTCTGACAGGACAGTAGGGAATGGAATAATTTATATTCCTTTCAGACAACTGGTCATTTGCATCCTTTTAGAGGGTCATTGAAGCACTTGGAAGTTTATCTATGTCTTCAGGGTCACCTGAGTAGTGCTCCTGGTTCCTGTAGTCTGCAATCTTTTCCTTTGGAAATCCATTCCTACTCCCACACCATTCAAAGCTTGTTCATCCCAAACTGTATAGCTAAAAGTCTGTAGAGATTCTCAGTCATCCAGGTCATGATTGTCCTAAAAGTGCTTTTTCAGGAGGCAGATGGACTTTTTGTTTTTTCTTTTGAAGATGTTTCACTTCTCATCTATAGAAGCTGAAGAAGCTTCTTGGATTGCAGACTACAGGAGCACTACTCAGGTGACCCTAAAGACACAGATAATCCTCCAAGTGCTTCAACAACCCTCTAAAACAGCGGTTCTCAACCTGGGGGTCACGACCACTTTGGGGGTCAAACGGCCATTTCACAGGGGTCGCCAAAGCCCTCTCTCGCCCCCCCCACGCCTTCACTCACCCTCACTCTCTGCTCTGTTGGATCGCCGGCCGTTCACTTACCCCGCCCACTCCCAAACTATTGCTGCCTCCTGAGTCCCAGCTGATGGCTAGAGGAAAAAAAACTGTTTAAATTCTTGCCGCGGGGCTTCAAAGGGCCGCCCTATAGCCAGTGGTGGGATTGTGCCGGTTCCGCCTTGCCCCGCCCCTTCGCACCACTATTGCCAATAAATAGTGGTGGGCGAGGGGCGGGCGAGCCAGCAATTTAACAAACAGTTCAGTGTTTTTTTTGTAATTTTATTGGCCCACGGAGCTTCAGCATAGGCTAATTAGCCCTTGATTAGATCGGCTCCCGACTCTCAGCTGATTTGGTCTCAGCTGTTTTGCTCAGGGCTCTGCTGCTTGCTTGCAAAGAGTGCAGATTTTTTTTCCCCTATCTATGCTGAAAAACGAAACTGAAAGTAAAGCAGGCTGTTGGCTTTGCTGTAACATTGGAAAATTAGGCAGGCAGATTTCTTTTCTTTTTCCTCACCAAAAAAGGTAGGTGCAAACAATGGGAAATTTAAGGAAAAAGACGACAGTTCAAGATTTTAAAACACAAAAGAAAAAAAGCTCTATTTAACTAGGGAATTGTAATAATTGAGATACTATTAATTGTATATTGTGTTGAAAGCAGAAATGGTTAAGTTGTGGCTTGGAGGAATATATGGGGGAAATTATTTGGTTTATTATTATTGGTAAATATAATTAATTGATTTGTAAGAAATTGGATTGCATGGAAATAATTGGAATATTAATGTTCATATTGATTAATATACAAAAAAGATAGTTATATAACTAATTGATTTATATTAAAATGTTGAATTTATATTAAACAACTATAATATTACATAATTAACCAATGTGAGGATGGATATAAAAATAGAAGACAATGGGAAGGGGTATAATATAGAATAGAAGGGAAAAATTGAATTTGATTAAGATTAGAGATGAGGATGAAGGGTAATATTGATTTTTTACAAAAATAGATGAGGAATAAATATGGCAAAAAGGAAATATAGAAATTGTAAATTTAATTGAAATGACTAAACACTGTTTAAATTTGTGAACCAGCCAAATACTCTGTTCAAAGAAAATACATTGTATGTTTGTATGTGTTTCTAATTATTGTTATTTATTCATATTTGTTCTCTTTTATTCTTTAAAGTTTAACAATTCATTCTTTATTTTAATATCTTTATATTTGTTTGGGGTTGGCTTTCTTCCCTTTCATCTTTTTTATTGTACAGCAATCTTTCTCCTCAAACCTACCACCTCTCTCTTTTCTTTCCTTCTTACTTTCTCTTCCTCACCCTCTTCTTCTCCTCCCTACTTCTTCTTCCTTTCTCCTTCTCCTCCTCTCTTCCTCCCTCTCTTACCCTCCCTCCTACTCTAATTTCCCTTCCCTTCCTTCATCCCTCTCTATTGCTGTATCCTTTTATGCATATGGACTACTCAGAGGGCTGAAAAAGTTATTTCTGACTGGTCCTCGCACTTTTGACCAGTCCTTGAACTTACGACTGTCCTTACATTTTACGTTTTTGCCCTATCTTGTCACCATGGTGAAGAGAAGCAGTTGTGAAATGAGTGACACGGTTGTTAAGAATGCTACAATAGGCATAAATGATGACCAGTCATAAGTGCGAAGACCGGTCAAAAGTGCGAGGACCTGTCAGAAATCACTTTTTTCAGCCCTCTGGGTAGTCCTTTTGTGCACAGGTACTACTCAGAGGGCTGAAAAAGTTATTTTTGACTGGTCCTCACACTTTTGACCAGATCTTGAATTTATGACTATCCTCACATTTTACGTTTTTTGCCCTATCTTATCACCATGGTGAAAAGAAGCAGTTGTGAAATGAGTGACATGGTTGTTAAAAATGCTGCACGGGCATAAATGTGAGGATGGTCATAAGTGTGAGGATCAGTCAAAAGTGCGAGGACCTGTCAGAAATGACTTTTTTCAGCCCTCTGAGTAGTCCCTATACACATAGCCATGGCCACCCGGACACATGACCAGCTAGCCACGCCCACCCAGTCACATGACCTCCAAGCCACGCCCACAAAATAAGCCACGCCCACAGAACCGGTAGTAAAAAAAAATTAGAACCCACCCCTGGTTGGGGGTCACCACAACATGAGGAACTGTATTAAAGGGTCGCGGCATTAGGAAGGTTGAGAACCACTGTTCTAAAAGGATATAGATTACATCCTTCCATTCCCCTCTGTCCTGTCAGAGCTGAAGAAGCTTCATGGATGAGAAGCAAAATGTCTTCAAAAGAAAAAACGAAGTCCAGTTGCCTCCTGAAAAAGCACCTTTTGGAACAAGCATCTGAATTGTGATCATATGACTGGAGAGTGTGGCAATTGTAACTTCAAAGATGTCATTTTTACTGAGGCCATTGTTGCTTTAAACTATCATTAAACAAACAGGTCGTAAATCAAGACTGTTTGTAGTGCAAAGCAGAAACGATTGAGGCTACATTTGCCTCATTTCTTAACTTTTATAAAATTGATCTATATTGATATGATGGCCTATTCCTCCTTACTGCTTTAGATGGGTAAAAAAGTACCTAAGATTTTTGAAAAAGCTTCTACTTTTCATAAAAGAAATGCACGAACTCATTTCACTGTATGTTCAGTTATTTTCAGGACATAATTTGATTGACTTTATTTTGTAGAACCTCAATCAGAAGCCAGTAATACTGAGGAAACGAAGGCAAAGGATAAAAATACAAGCCAACTGGGATCTCTTTTATTACCGGTAAACAATTCAGAGAGAAATGGTGTTCCTCTTTATAATTTTTTAAAATTATCATTTAAAATCTGTTTTTTACACTGCTTATATAGATTTCTCCAAGATCACACTAGATCCAATTTGATCTGGAATTTCAAAACAAGAGAAGAATTAAGAGATTCCTTAGAGACTGAAATGCGGGCATTTCAGATTGACAGAGAACTTGGCAGCACCAATGTCATTTCCTGGAATCACCATGAATTTGAAGTATGTCTTCATCTGATATTTATCCAATGAAATTAGAAGCTTAGTTTATTTTGAATGTAAACATCTTGCCATTTCTAAACTATTAGTACATAAAATTCTGATTAAAATTATTTACATAGATACAAATCAGTGCCCTTTCTATTTAAAAAATTCCTATTGGAATTATAATCATTGGGGTTATTATAAAAGTAAGAAAATTTAGCCTATCAAGTTAAGCCCCATATACCTCCAGTCTTGGTTATCTATGGAATTGTCCAGTGGCTTCTGCTGATATACTATGATTATGATTCAGATTCTTTCCATCCTAAGGATGTCATATACAGGATCCAAAGAGTTAAGCATTTCTGTTGCTTCCTCGCTTATTAGAAATAGTCTGCTTCTTGAGATCAGAGTAGAGTATATAGTTTAAAGAAACTATATGATATAGTTTAAAGAAAGTCATGGAAACTGGACTTTAAAAAAAATAGAAGCATATCTGAGATAAATTAGAACTCTCATCTTTACCTATGGTTGGCATATTTTTTTTGCCTTTTGGCTTTGAACTTTCTAGAAATGTTTTGTTATTTCTTTTTTGTATTGTTTTACTTTATTATACTGTTGTATTTTGACCTTTTTACTGTAGAAGTGAATATAAGTTGTTCAGTTATGTTCGACTAGAAAAATATGTTAGCTCCAGAAAATAAATAAATAAATCTTGCTCCAGTTCCTGTGATGTCATTTCTAGAATAAGTGAATTCAGTTCAGTGAGATTTATTAATCCTAATGGGTAATTGAGATTGTTCATTATTCAATTAGTGATTGCTTTATGGGGTCACATAAAAATAATAGTTGTAAACAGAAATAAATTCACTTCTTCAGATATGTACATAGTCCCTAGAATAAGCAAGTATTCTCCTATCATCTTCTACATATGAGAATGTTTCTTATGATCTCATTTTGTACAAAAAAATCTGAGATTTTATATTATTTTCATTTCTCATACATAGACATTGTATTAGAACCTTCTTTACTTTCTCTTTGTAAAAGGTGAAATATGAATGCCTGTCAGAAGAAATTAAAATAGGGGATTATTATTTGAGATTGCTTTTAGAAGAAGATGAGAGTGAAGAAAGTGAAGCAATAAAAAAATCGTAAGTTGTTATTATCTTAACCTTAAAAGTTGCATTTAAGATATAAAGACTAAGTCTTAAACCATTCTTTATCCTTTTTCTTGACAGGTATGAATTTTTCAATGAGTTGTATCATCGTTTCCTGCTCACTCCTAAAATAAATATGAAATGTCTCTGCTTACAAGCCCTGGCTATTGTATATGGAAGGTGCTATGAGGAGATTGGTCCCTTTGGTGATACTAGATACATTGTAGGGATGTTGGAAAGAGTAAGTATTTCCTAAATTATTGCACAGTTGGAAAGTAGGTAGTAAATGTGATTTATTAATGTCTCTCTCCAAATTTGGCTAGCAAGCAGCTAAGATTTGTCTTTGAATATTTTTCATGAGAATTGAAATTGATATTATTTCCTGAATTTATTTAGTATAGACCTTACTAGAACTGATGTTTTTATTGTATCTGTTCCTGTGTTCCAAAGGCATTAAAATATGTTAAATAATCATGAATTGTAGACAATAAAGCCAGGTTGAAAAATACATTTTGTAGATTTTGCCATAATCGCAACAACATTGTTCTGAATCCCTCCCTTGAAAGATATTTTATGAAACTTCAGCATTATCTAGTTTTGGGGCATCACATTTTTGGATGTGACACATGTAGGCATGTGACACATGTAGACAGGCAAAGAGACATATATATATTGGAACAACTGTCATTGTCATTTGAATTTGCTCGTTTTAATAGTTAGGGCTCTGTGGAACTCTTCAATATTTGTGCTTTATCATTATGTTCTGTCATTACTGTTTTCGGCATCCCTGTTCCCACAACCTTATTTGGATTAGTAAGATTTATGTATTATGAGATTTACCAAAGAAGTGTCACAAGACTAAATCAATTCACCCCGGAACATTCATTTTATCTTAAACAGTCATGCACAGAGTTAATTGATTCCTTGCAGTCAATTGTGTTAGAAGAAATCCTAAATATAATCAGTTTACCTATACTGTACCCTCCTTCAAATAAACAAACAAACTAACAAGAAGAGCAGCTGAAAAATCCTTCCCATGACAATTTGGTACAAAGACTTGGCAGCATAAGCACATCTCCCATATATTGCCTGGAATGGCCAAACCACTCTGTTGACTGACTGCTAGAACAATGAGAAGCTGGCTAGTTAGTGGTCATACTGTGAAACTTTGCTCATGTTCTCTAGGCGTAAGAATTCATGGGATCCTAGATATGTACTGGAGGAAATCACCAGAGCTACGTGTTTCCCAGGAAATGATTTTTGATTTAATTAGTGTGATATTGTGATTTGCTTTAACCATTGATTAGAAGCTTTGATTACGTTGATGACTTGCTTTATTGTAATTGTTGTGGAAACAAGGCTATTATTTCCAAAAGTCATAGTGTTTTCATTATTTTCAGTCTTTGGAGATTGCAAGATAATGGTATTTAAGTATGTTGCTAATGATGCATTAAAGCAGCAGTGTCAAACTCCATGGGCCAGATCCAGCCCGCAATGTGGTCGGACCCGGCCCGCGGTGTTGTCCTGGTCTACCCAATGCAAAGAGGAAAGATCGGGCCAGTGTGGCTTCGATCCGGTCTACCCAATGCAAAGAGGATACATGGAAGCAATTTGGGGAGTGGCGTCAAGCTGGCCACGCCCACCCAGTTGACAATGCCAGAGAGCCCCCCTGAGATCAACCATAGCCTTGATGCAGCCCTCAATGAAATTGAGTTTGATACCCCTGCATTAAAGGAAAGTGAGATAGTATTTAATCACACATTTTCATGCTTTTTCTGTTAAAAAACAAGTCTTATATTTTTTATAGTGCACTGACAGACTGGAACGGGACCGGCTGATAATATTCCTTAACAAACTGATTCTTAACAAGGTGAGCAAGAATTCAAACAACTTGCATTGAAATTTCTAACCATGTACAGATCTGTCTGTAAACAACTCAGGCTTTTTTATTATAAATATAAAATAATGGAAAACATATCATTGTATTAATGATGGTATTATATCATATAATATATAAGCTTTATTTGTATGTTTTATAACAAGACAACAATTTGATAGAATTATTTTAAGTGGATGGATTAATTTCAGCTTAATGTTTTGTTTAAGGAGTATTTAGACAAACTATTTTGGCTACATTATGAGAAGTATTATTTGTGATTCTGAGCTAGTCAGCTGGATAGCTGACAGCCCAGGCTCAAAATCCGAGCACCACATGACAGGATGATCTCTCATTACTTGCTCCAGCTCCTGCTAACCTAGCAGTTCAAAAGCATGCAAATGCAAATAGATAAATAAGTACCATTTCGGTGGAAAGATAACAGCATTCCATGCATCTCATGGAATAGTATCCTGGTTGCAGGATATGCCCATATGACCATAGAAGTGTCTTCAGACAAAGCTGGCTTCTTCAGCTGAGAAATGGTGATGAGCACCACCTCTGGAGTCAGGCTCAACAAGACAAAGGAAACCTTTACCTTTACCTTCAATAGATTTTTTTGATAAATAAAATGCAAATGGGCTTAGGGTCATAAGAATGTATTGGGCTATTCAGGATCAGCCTAGTGTCGCAAAATACCTTTTATTCAATGAATAATCTTTTGACTGAAATGTATAATATAGATAGATCTCAGTTTACAACCATAATTGGGACCAGCAACTCCACCGCTAAGTGACATAGCGGTAAAGAGAAAAATCATGTGAACTTGCTTATTTAACAGCAGAACTTCTAGTTGCAGTTGTTAGCAAATCACTTGAGGCCATTAAGCGCAATATCACATAATCACGAGTTGTGACTTTCTGCCAGCTTTTGTATTTGTCAAAAGCCAGTGGTGAAGTTCACAAATGATGATCACATGACTGCAGGACACCTTGGCCATCATAATTGCATATCAGTTGCCAAGCACAACCATGAGAATGGTGTGATGGCTACAAGTTTGAGAACTGGTCATAAGCCTCTTTGTTAAGTGTCATTGTAACTTTGAACAGCTGATACATTATTGGTTGCTAAGCAAGGACCAGCTGTATATATGATTCAAAGATGATAAAATGAAGTCAGGTTATGTTTTCAGAATTAAAATAAAATTTAGTGGTTGTATATTTGTAGGTTTTATAAAATTTACAAAGTACATTATTTGTTTTGTTTGGACAATCTATCTAAATATAAAAATAAACTGCAGTATAGTAATTATAGAAAAAGGGATCATTTATCAACTACAAGTGATAAACACATATCTCTTCCTGATGCTTATCCTCCATGTCCTGAAAACCCAAGACTGGATTATTGCAAAGATGCCCACCATGGGCAGCTCTTGAACAGTCCAGAAATTAAGATTAGCCCACAATGCTGCAATCAAGTTGATAAATTACCATAGATGTCCTCTAAATAATCATTGTTTTGATTCAAACCTAGAACTTACTTCACATTTTTGAAGTTTTGTCAAATTCTTTCAGCAGAATAATGTTAGAGTCTGGATGATTTTTGGTTGTTTCAGTGAAACAGATTCTTGGGCAAATAGGGTAGGACAGATAAGGCAATAATGTAAAGCAGAACCAAAAATCCTGAAGCCCTATGCATTTTTTTTTGTTTTTTTTTGTTATTGCCTCAAAAATTTAGAGGCAGGACAGTGGGATATCATAGGGGTTGACAGAGAAAAGGCTAGCTGGTTGACTGGTAGGTTATGCCAACCCATATCAGGAACACTACAGGGAGGAAAGAATACCAGTCTTATCTACTTCCTGTTAGCCACCGATATTGGTTTTTCGTCACTTCTTCTCACCCACCCCCACATTTGTGCTCAGACTGAGCCTGTTTAATTCATGGTACAGATTTTTTAAAAATATTTAAAATGCATATGTTTCAGTTCAAACGCAGACCATCCTAAGATGTCACATGACTAATCAGTACCCTAGTTATCACTTGTATTTCAAACTGTATTCAAATGGTTTACTACAGTGTACTGTGTACAGTATGGTGTACAGTATACAAAGTCATACAATGTAGTTTCAAATATGTTTCAGGATAGTCTAATTCTCAGTTGTCCTCTCTGCATTCTGAGATCATTAATGAGCCAGTTTCCACATAAATAATAATTTTGTCTTTCATATTGTGAGTTTTTTATTATAAAACTGACTGAAGCTGAGTTGGAGCAAAATATATTTAGAAGGAATCTGTAAACATATCTTTTCATTTTGGCTTAGAACTGTTTTTATTCTGAGTTGTTTTCTTTTTAATTTTACACTTTTTGGTATATTTTTAGCCATTGAAATTGTTCAGCACATATTTTTGCTAAATAAATGCTAAATTTATGCTAAATACATACTAGCTTTTTAAAAGAAACTTATTTTCACTTCACACTTTTAAAATTCTGCTATAAAATAATGGTAAGGACATATGTTAGGGCCAGTAATGTATCCAACTAATGAATTTTATAGCCTTTACACTTAAAAGTAGGATTTCTCTGGGAAATCACATTTTTAAAAAGTAAAAATTAATATAGGAGAATTTTGGAACCTCCGCACTTATCAATTAATGTTAATAAAAATAAAGAGGGGTGCCTTTACCAAAATATATACTAATGGTTAACAGGGAAAGCAAGTACCAATTGTTCATCATTTATTCAATAATTTATTGAAATGTAATATTACTAATAAAATCAGTAAATGATGTAAAATGAAAGATTATAAATAAATAGAAGCTAGTTACAATTTTATCACTAGATCTCTTTATTCTCCAGTGCGCTGCTTGGAGACTCCAAGCAAGGGTTAACTCAAATACTATTGCCAGAGACTGGGTTGATAGAATTCCTTGGCCACGCCTCTCTTGCCCGGCTGAGCTTCAGTTTTTCAACTCAGTCCAGCCAAGAGAGACATGTATTAATTTGCTCTATCAACTTTAGTCTAGGTCAATAGAATTTTTTTGCTTGGAGTCTTCAATCTTTGAATTTTTTGCCAAAGGGGCCAGCATGTTGCGGGTAAATGAGCTGGTCTACTCTGGCAAGCCTGGACCAACGGCCACCACCCTGAAGAGATTTACTTTAGGTAAGCAGCATATCCGGGGTCAACCCTTGCATGGGGATCCTCCGTGTTGCTGGCCCCTGGATTCTAACCCACCTAGCCGCTGGTGGGTGTGCTGGTATATCTGTGTGAGAGGTAAAACTGCCACCACCTATGGTGGGGGAAGCAGCTCCGGAGTAACTGTCCAGCTGGAGGGACATACTCCGTGTTTATTTGATTTGCGTGGTGCTGGGAGGGCTTTTATCGTGCCCTCATTCTCCTGGCAGCTTTGTTTTTAGGTGGGGGAAGGTGTTTTGAGCTGCGGCGTTGCCAGGCTCATAGCTCCCGTGTATTGGACCCTCTGGTGGCCACCATGTGGGATTTCAGAGCAGAGGCGCTAGGAGAGCTGGAATTTGCTTTCGCGCCTCGTTTTTTTTTCTATCTGTGAGGCTCTTTGGCCGGCTGTAAGGAGGAGGGGTGTTAGGAGAGCTGGAATTTGCTCTCACACCGTTTATTATCAGCTGTGGAGCTGCAGAACTGTAGGACCGGCAGCGTTGCCAGGCTCAGCTCATTTTTTGATGATTGGAGGCTTGCAGCCTTGCAGATTGCCTCGCAGTGCTGGGGGGGGCAGTTTCTGCCTTCGCGCCTTTTTTCTGATCAGCTGAGAGGCATGGAGGCACCCCAGCGCATGCGCAGAGCAGTGGGCTTGCCTAGGAGCTGTAATTGCGCAACTGGGGGATTGTGAGTGGAAACTTTCCACTCCAGCTCCATTTCTAGCCCAGCAGGAGACATGACTGGGATTTGGAGCAAAGGCATTGTTTCTTTTGCTAGCTCCGGAGCTGGAAGTATTGTGCTGGTGTTGATCTCCCAGGGCCTGCCATGAGGATCCAGCTTATCCTTTGAGGCTGCAGGGGGACCTGATCAGGTGGACATTCCTTGATCCGGTCTGTATAAATTGTGTGTGAGTGGCAGAATGGCTGACAGTAGTTATCTCCACCTCTGGAACTCTCTGATCCCCCTAGGCTCCATAGAGCTGATGAATGCAGCCCCAGACTCACCAGGGCTGCCTCCAAAGGGGCATCTCACAAGGAAATCTCCAAGAGGCATCGGTCTAAGGAGGATTATGCTGCGTTGGAAAAAGATGCCAAAAGACACCTGAGAAGCATGCTTCTAAAAGCCTGAGGCAGGTACAGGAGCCAACTGGTTACCTTGCAGCAGAGGTTTTCCCTGCATCTCTGCAGCCTGATTTGTCTCCTCAATTAAGCGTGGAGCATGCATTCCCCAGAAGGTGTTGGGCATGCATTCCCCAGAAGGTGCTGGGGAGATTAGGTCGGTTTTTCCTATTGGACAGGAGGAAGAAATTCTACCTTTGGCTGCTGTGCCCTCCACTAGTAGGCACTCAAGGCCAGTCCCTACTAGGACATCTGTTCCAGAGGCCACTTTTACTCCCACTGCGGCAGGGCTCCGTCCAGGGGAGGCCCAGGGATCTGGGCTGTCTATGGACATGAAAGCCTTCATTGCTGATGTTATTGCACAAGGCATTGCTGCAGGTTTCCAGCATAACAGCTTGTCCCGTCATCCCTCGCCCCATCAACAGGTGTAGCTTCCAGCAGCTTACATTCCGGTGGTTGAGCCATCTGCATCACAACATTCACAACATTCTGTGCAGAGTGCTGATGCCCTCAAGGGGGAGGAAAATCTGGGAAATCAGGAGCTCTCAGATGATGAGGGCATGACCCCTGAAAAGCCTTCCTTCTCAGGCCTGTTTCATTCTGCCTTGTTTAAGTTTTTGTTGTTCAAGGCGAAGGCTACCACCAACAGGGGGATAGTGGGCGCCTCTTCAGAGCAGCCCCAGGCCCTCCAAGATCCTCATGAAGGTCTGTTTTCCGAACCTGTTCCAGGAGACCATTCTCTCGCCTCTGCTGTTTTTGGATGTTATGCAACGCCAATGGGCACAGCCTGGTACGATTGCTGCACCTTCTGGCAATGAAAGGCAACTTTACTGCGCTGCACCAGACCTGGAAGAGCTCCTCCGGATTCCCATGGTGGATGTTCCTGTGGCAACACTTACTTCTTCGGCCATTCTTCTGGCTGATATTGCGGAAGGTCTGAAGGCTGAGGACAAGAAAGCTGAAATGGCACTTCACAAAACTCATCAAGCTGCAGCTTGGGCCATCAGGTCAGCAAATGCAGCTTCCTTTTTCAGTAGGGCCACATTGATCTGGTTGCGCCAGATGCAAGCCAGACTACCACCGGATGAGATTAGGTTGCATCAGGACCTGAATAAGCTCATGGCTGCCACTGAATATTCGGATGATGTGACCTTAAACGCAACCAAGTTTACGTCCTGGGCATTGGTTTCTCCTGTGACATCACGATGCCTCCTGTGGGTTCACCATTGGCAGGTGGACATGCGATCCAAATGGAGGTTGGCTTCCGCCCCTTACAAAGGGGCACACTAGTTTGGGGAAGCCTTGGACCTCATACTTGTGGAAGGCAAGGACAAGAAGGTCTTTCCCTCCTTGCACCGGAGGGCGGATCGTAGGGCCTTACCTTACTACCATCAGAAGCCGCAGTTCCAGTCAGCCGATGCCACATCCCCCTCCGCCCAGTTCTAGAGGCCTTCCTATCGGGCACGAACGGTTTCCAGATCGGTCGTCCTTTCATGACAGGGGCAGACGGCAGGATCAGATCAAGCGGCCATTTCGTGGGTCAGGAGGTCGCTCCTTTTGATGCGGGAAATGACTATCCCACAATGTTTCCCACTGTACCAGTGAACGCCGAAAAATGTCAGCTGATGGAAACCCGAGATCCAGCATCTGTTGGAAATCAACGCCATCAAGCCGGTTCCAGATGGCCAGGAGGGCCAAGGACTTTACTCAATCCTGTTCCTGATGCCCAAGAGTTTGGGGGGCTGGAGGGGAATTTTGGACTTAAAGAAGCTGAATGCCCACGTGATCTATCGCCGATTCAAGATGCAGTCCCTGCAATCCATCCTGGGCTGTATCAGGGAGAGTGATATGTTGACCTCCATAGAACTCAAAGAGGCCTATTTGCACTTACCAATCCGCCCCTGTCATTGCAGGTTCCTGCGGTTCTCCTATGAGGGCGCCAGTTCCAATACCGGGCCCTGCCATTCGGCCTGTCATCAGCCCCAAGAGTCTTCACAAAGGTTCTGGCAGTGGTAGCAGCCCACATCAGGGCGCTACCCATTCGTCTACAATGTTATCTGGACGATATTTTGATCCAGTCCAGATCAGCCTCGCGAGTGGAACAGGAGGTCCAGACTGTGATACGGCTACTCCAAGATCATGGCTTCACGGACAACTTCAAAAAGAGCCACCTGGTGCCATCTACCAGTCTTCTTCACCTGGGCGTGGTAATAGACTCCTCCTCCGACCAAGTATTTCTCTCACCAGACTGACTGGAAAGTCTGCAGTCCTTAGTGGCCGGGATAGTGGCTATGCAGTTGGTGCCCTTAAACCTTCTCTCTCAACTATTGGGGAAGATGATTTCATGCCTATCCATAGTCCCCTGGGCATAGTTGCATGCCTGGGCACTGCAGTGGTTCCTTCTACCACATCAGAAGGCCAGCAAGAGCAACTCATGCCTCAAAGTGAGACTCACCCAAAGGGTGTTGAGGTCACTACACTAGTGGGCCTCCCCAGCCCTGCGGCAGAGATGCCCCTACAGGGTGAGCCAGTGCATCACAATAACTTCGGAAGCGAGTCTCTTTGGTTGGGGAGCCCATCTCCAATCCAGGTGGTTCAGGGCAGGTGGTCCCTGATGGAGCTCCAGAACAGCATCAACTGGCTGGAGCTGAGGGCGGTTCACCTGGCCTTATGCCACTTCCGAGAGACAGTGTCAGGCCGGCACGTTCTCATTCTGATGGACAATGTGGCCACAAAAGCCCACATAAATGGGGAGGGAGGCACCCGGTCCAGGTCCCTCATGGCAGAGATGGAGAGGCTGGGTCTTTGGTCAGGACAGAACATATCTCCGGAGTAACGAACGTGCAGGTGGACTGGCTGAGCAGGATGACCCAGGACCACTCAGAGTGACGCCTGCATCCAGACCTCCTCAAAGAGGTGTGCGAGAGAAGGTGGCGTTCCTCATGGCAATAACATCTACCAGGAGGATATCTGAATTGGTGGCCTTGTCTGTATGGGAGGACCTTTGCACTTTTCATGCAGATCGGGTGGTCCTTTGCTTGGAACCTTCGTTCCTGCCAAAGGTGAATTCCTGGTTCCACCGAGCCCAGGAGCTCATCTTGCCTAATTTTTGCCCGGGTCCCTATCATCCCGTGGAGGAACACTGGCATGCCTGGATGTCAGGAGAGCTCTCCGTAGGTACATCGAACGGAGTTCTTCCTTTTGGAAGACAGAATCTCTTTTTGTATCCTTCCAGCCTGCAACCATGAGCAGGAAGGTGACTTCTTCTACTATTGGCCGTTGGTTGAAGGCCTGCATTTCCAAGGCCTATGAGATGCAGGCCCGGCCTGTCTCGAGACAAATTACGGCTCACTCCACTGGTCCACCGCGGGGACCAGGGACTGGCCGGTCTCCCTCCCCTAGTTCAGGCTTGGGTATATCCCTTGCTTGGAGTCTCCAAGCAGCACACTGGAGAAAGGACGTTGGTCTTACCTGACCCGTCTCTTCTCAGTGCACTGCGGGAGAATCCAAGACCTGCCCTGCCGACCGTCCTAGGTCCAGGAGTCCAGGGGACGTTTATCTCTCTACAGATGCCGGTCTGCTACTCTGACGTGACTTCGTCAAAAAACTGAAGCTCAGCCAGGCAAGAGAGGCGTGGCCAAGGAACTCTATCAACCCAGTCTCTGGCAGTAGGATTTGAGTTAACCCTTGCTTGGAGTCTCCCGCAGCGCACTGAGAAGAGACGTGTCAGGTAAGACCAACATCCTTTTCTAAGGTTGTGTTTTCTTCTTACCTTAAGATTAGCATGCCTTACAATAAAAATTAGATCAGAAAAAATCATTTTTAAAAGTATGCGATTTCTTATAAATTCTTTATACTCTTATTACAGAAAAATGTTAAAGAGCTTATGGATTCAAATGGAATCAGAATCCTTGTGGATCTCCTTACTCTGGCCCATCTTCACACAAGCAGGGCAACAGTACCATTCCAAGTATGGCATTTTTATTTTTTTAAGCTTTGTATAAATACAAATAAGTGCAGATTCTCATAAAAACAAAAATATTTATCACATTGGAATTAATTTGAAACATAGCCTGTTCAAAATTGGGGTTATTTAATGTGTTTTTTAAGACTTGGGTTTGACTACTAATTGGCTCATTTAAGATACCTGTCATCTAAAGTTCATCCGTCCTTCCCTGTATGGTTAAGTTCTCATCCTTTGGTCCAATAAATTGAAAAATTGATGAGTCTGACTATGTATACATTCTAACAAGATAGTGACATTTGTACATATAAATTGCTTCTTAAATTGTAAAATCTATTTTTCTAGTTACATGATGCAAAACTTACTTTTCTTTTCTTTTTAAGAGCAATGTTATTGAAGCAGCACCAGATATGAAAAGAGAGAGTGAAAAAGAATGGTATTATGGCAATGCAGAGAAAGAGAGAAGAGGCCCATATAGCTTTAATGAGGTATCTTTCAAAAAAAATTGTTTCATATTAAAATAATACAGTGTTGGATCATGGCCTTGTAATATTTCTCAGAAAGGAGTATGTTTATAAATGGTGAAATTATATGTGGGGTCCTCAATACTCTCTGAGCTTGGTGGTTTACTTGCATTCATTATTGGCATTGACATTGTTTTATTACCAAACTAGATAACATCATCAGTGCTAGTAGGGATGGGAGTTTGCTCTCAATATATATTCTAGTGGCTTGCCCTGTCAGTGTTGGGAATGGCCTTGGTAGTTCTGTGGTTGGGCCATTTATTATTAGTTATTCACTGTTAGCAGTTCCTTGATAGGGATATTGAGATAATATGTATGTGATGTCAAATGAGGCAGGAGAACATTTTATTCAGCTATGTCACAAACAACAGTTAAACATAATGTACATATGGTTTGAACAACCCAAGTGATGACTGTACACTTGGATCTCACCAAAGGGAAAACATCAAAACCAAATTGACTACATATTATGCCAGAAGAGGTAGAAAAGTTCCATCCTCACTGTGAAAACATTCTGTGATGCAGATTGTGGATCAAATCATGAACTGTTAGCTGCCAAGGTAAGATTCAGGTGTTGCAGTGTCAAACGTCCACCCATGATTCAGAAATTTAATGTCGAGAAGATTCCCTGCATATGCAGTTGAAGTTAAGAACAGATAACAGAAGTTGAGAACAGATTTGAACTCCTCTACTTCCCAGAAAGGCAACTAGCCGAGCTATGGGCCAACTGTCATTAAAGTAGCCCAAAACATATTATGTATCATTAAAGTAGCACAAGAACATATTGCATACAAGAAACCAACAAAATTGGCCAGATGGATATAATAGACTGCAAAAGAGGAAGGAAAGAAAAAGCTATTGGTGACAGGGAAGAAATGCAAAGACTAAATGGAAAGTTCCAGAGAGAGGCAAGAAAAAATAAAGAAAAGTACTGGGCTGAACAATGTAAGAAACTAGGAACCAGCCATGAAAGGTCATACAAGTGTTTCACTTATGTGAAGAAGGCTGGAAACCTCTTTATGACAAAAATGGTCAGAGGAGGTAATGGGCAGGAATTGCATAACCAATTAGCAATCAAAGAACAATGTTGGCAATATGCAAAACAACTTTACACAAAAAAGCAAGGCCAAGCAGTAAGAAAAGAAGCTGACCTACCACAAATAGAACCAGATATCCTGGAGAAATATGTTGTGTGGGCACTGAATCAGCTGCCTAACCACAAAGCCCCAGGAGTTGAAGGAATTCTTGAAGACCTGCTAAGAACACTGCCAACAAAACACTGACAGTGCTTTGCCAAAGAAATGTAATACCAAAGACTGTTCCAACCACTGAACTTGATACTACTCATGAGTAAAAATTTTTTGAAGATAATCCAGAAATACTTGAATTCAATCACCAACAGTTGATGTACAAGCAGGATTTCAGTAAGGAAAAGGAATGCATGATCATATGCCAATCCACATTGGATGATGGAAAAAGTAAAGGAATACCAAAAAGATATCTACATGTGTTTCATTGACTACACAAAAGCCATTGTATTGACCATAACAAGCTCTGGAACTGTCTCAAAGAACTGGGAATATTACCACATCACATCCAGCTCATTCAGTCATTGTATTCTGTTCAGGCAGCCATTGTAGGAACGGAATATGGAAACACAAAATGTTCAGAATTGAAAAAGACACTTGGCAAGGTTGCATTCTGTCATACTATTCAACATGGACACAGAAATATTTTTTTAGAAAGGTTTTTTATTTTTTTTCAAAACAAACACAAACAAACAATACATTTTTTCTGAACAGAGTATTGGCCAAGTCAAAATTTATACAGCTTTTAGTTTTCTCCAACACAATTTATATATTTCACTTTTTGCCATAATATTCTTTCTCTCTAATTTTTTGTTTTATTTTCCTTCTGTTTCTTCTGGTATATAACCAATATTACCATTTGCCCTAATCTCTAATCTTAGTCAATTTTTCTTCCCCCCCCCCATTACTTTTTTCAATTTAATTTAAAGTCAATCATTTTTCTAAAACGTAACCCTAACTCTAAATCATCTTATTCAAATATTTCCCCATTGCTCCCTTTTCACAACATAATATAGGTTCAAATATTTTCCCTAGACTCCATTATTCCAATTATAGATATTACTGTATTTTTCGGAGTATAAGACACACCGGAGTATAAGACACACCTACCTTTTTTAGTAGTTGCCTCTGCTTCTGCCTCTGAGCAATTTTGGCTCGTTGCAGAAAACAGCCTGCTTTACTTTCATTTTCATTTTCAGCATAGCTTGATTAGCACAAGGAAAAAAAAAATCTGCTCCAGCAATTTACCTCTTTGCAGCAAGCAGCAGAGCCCTGAGCAAAACAGCTGAGAGCAAATCAGCTGAGAGTCGGGAGGCCGATCCAATCAACTTGTGCTAATTAGGCTGTGCTGAAGCTGAAAGGAGCTGTTTTTTCTTGCTGTTTGCTTGCAAGGAGGTAACTGCTGTGAGTCAGATGCCAAAGGGTGGGGGCCAGTGCTTCGGCAGGGCTACATTCTTTGTATAAGACGCACCTAAATTTTCACCCCCTTTTAGGGGGAAAAGGTGCATCTTATACTCCGAAAAATATGGTAGAATTCATACAATTTTACATATATAACCCATTTCCTTCCCAGCTTATCCAAATACTACAATCAAATATATTGTATCTCATAAGTATATAACATTAAAGTCATTCATTTCTATTTCTCAATTCCAATTATTTTTAAAAATAAACCCAATTTTCCATTGCTTTTTCAAGTATATATATATATATATATATATATATATATATATATATATATATATGTTTTCTCAGGTTTTCGCGGGTGTTTGTATGTAGGTCTTTGGTTATTCGGGTCTTCTCCCACGTAAAATTGGAAGTGTCTTGGCGACGTTTCGACGAAGTCTCATTCGTCATCTTCAGGCTGGTGTTCTCGGCTTCGTGCTTCCAGGAGCAATGTGAGATCGCAGCTGTCTCTTCCTTTTAACTGCTAGTGGGGGTGTGAGCTGATTGGGTGGGAACTTGGCTGTGTTCTGATTGGGTGGAGGTGTATTCTGATTGGTTAGGGGCTTGGCTGTGCTCTGATTGGATGGGGGGTTGGTTGTGCTCTGATTGGCTGGGGGTGTGTTCTGTTTGGGTGGGGGCTTGGTTGTGCTCAGCTTAGTCTGAGTTGCAGGGGGATTTGAGCTGGTGAGCTGCGTTGTTGTTGTTTGGCTTCGTGTTTGTGGCCGTGCAAGCTCTTCATGGTGGGTGTCAGTCTGCTTCATGTATGGATTGGAGGGGTTTAAAGTGGCTAATGATGTAGCTGCGGTCTGGCTTCTGGTCCTTGGTCGTGGCTCATTATCAGTGTGGGTTTGAGTCTGCTTTCTGCGTGGATGTGTGGTGGTGACATCCTGTGTGGCTCTCGTGAGTGTGGGTCTGGTGTCATTCGTCGTGTTAGGGACTCGTTTGTCAATAAGGGCGGGTTTCCAAATGGCTGGTAGGCGGGAGGTATCGTCTCGTTTGTTCATGCTGTGTGGGCGTTTTCTATCTCGAAGCCATTGAGCTGGCAATCACTTATCCAGTACCAGTACTCCGTCCAAATCACCACTCCTGCTCAAAATTTAGTCCGGTTTCCCCAGCTTTATGGCCGCTGCTATGGCCGCCGCCCCCACTACTGAGTCAAAGAGTTTCCTCCAACCTCCAAGGAACTTGCTTGTTCCTCCTAATCATCCAAGGTGCCTCTCCTTCTCCATCCCTACAGGATAGATCTGGTCCGAAGGACCCCCCCCCCAATATAGCGGTTTGTCAGCCCAGAATTTTGCAAGACTCATCAGAGCCCACTAATTCCCAACTGTCTCGCCACGACGCTTCCGGTCGAATCTGCACAGAAATATTTTTGAGAAATACACATTGGAGGACTTTAACCACTGGGATTAAAATCAGTGGTAGGACTATCAGCAACCTCCGATGTGTTGATGATACAACATTGCTCCCAGAAAGCAAGAAGATATGCAGTGGCTAATCCTGAGTCAAAGATGAAAGTGAAAAATTTGGATTGCACCTTAACATCAAGAAAACAAAGATAATGACAATGAACACACAGATCAAAGTGCAGATCAACAATGAGACTATCAAAATAGTAAAGGAATTCAACTTCCTCGGCTATAAAATTGACCAAAGTGGTGACTGCAGCCCTGAGAACAGAAGGTGTATAGCCTTTTGAAGAACTGCAATGTATGGCATGAATAACATCTGGAAGAGTAAAGACTCACAACCAAATGCACATTTGTTAAATCAATAATTTTTCCAATTGCAACTGCAAAAATAACAAAGAAATCCTAGACGGAACTGTTCTGTCCCCGTTTCACACACGCACACCAGCAGTGGACCAAGAGTTAAAATAAACCAGCAGACAAGAATTTCCTTTGATAACAGAATTGGCAACAACCCAGTGGCTGCTTGCCAAAAGTTTTTACTTACAAAGGGAGGTTTTTCTCCTCCGTCTGAAACATCAAAGTAAGTCCACAAAAGCCAAAGAATAATCAAGTCCAGTCCAAAAATCAATCCAAGCAGAGCATATAACAAAGTTCCAGAAATGCAGAATGACTTGCTAGCTTTCAGTTTTGTTCGTCACAAGGCTTGACTGGCCACCACACGCCCTTTTATCCCTTATGTGGTGTGGTCCAATGACTCAGTTTAATCTCTGGCACGCCTCTTCCTCTGCTGCGTCCGCTTATCTCTGCGACGCTGTCGGGGATCCAGCCAAGACTCATCTCCATCGCTGTCCAACTGCGGCTGCTCCTAAGTGCCTGGCCCCTGGCCTATCTCTTGGCCTTCAGAGGACACCTGAGGCATTGCCAGAGAGGAGGGTCCTGGAGAGGGAGGCATTGCCAACTCCTCTCCTCCACTTTCGGGGTCTTCTCCTTCTGATAAAACAGGCTCGGGGGTCGGAGTCACAACATGAACCTTGCAGAAAATATCACTTGACAAGACAAGATTGCCAAACAGAAGCTGTTATACTTTGGTCATGTCATGAGAGCTGACTCGCTTGGAAAGTCAATCATGCTGGGAATGATCAGCGGTAAAAGAAGGGGCCACTCTAGTATCCACTGGCTGGACAGTATAAAGGATGACACGGCAGAGACAGTATGAGACAGAGCAGCATGGAGAGTGCTGATCCATATAGTGGCTGAAGGTCGGATATGACTGGATGGCTGATGACGACAACAACAATGTGCTTAGAAGTCCACTCATGAAGTTGTCAGGAATAACCAGTTCATGCTATGCATTTGCATGATGGATTTTTTTTGGGGGGGTGGGGGGGACCAGGACAGTTGCTTTCTTTCATTATTTTCCTTTCCTTGGGAATGAAAAACAGAAGGATTGCTACCAAGTGAGGATTGCTACCAAGGAGTTGTTTTTTGTCTTTTATTGGGGGAAAGTTTTTATTTTCAGATCAGTATTTTTATAGTTGAGGTATTTTTTTCCAAATCAAATATTCTAATGAACCTGGAATAATTGTCTATTTTTAGTCAAGAAATTTTGATTTATGGCATGGTAATGATTTGGGCTGTCTCATTAGTCTTTTAGATCTGCCCAGATTGTTTTACTGTTTTGTTTTTGACAAGATAAAGTATTTTTACATATCTGCTTACATAGACTAATATAAATATTATTTTAAATATCTTGGATATATTCACTACTGTTTGCAAAAACTGAACATTTGTCAAACATACTGTTCCAAAAACAGTATTCATTATAGTATTCAATTTCTAATACAGATGCAGGAATTGTGGACAGAAGGAAAATTGACTTCAAAAACACGCTGCTGGGCCCAAGGCATGGATGGATGGCGACCATTGCAAGTTATTCCTCAGTTGAAATGGTGTCTACTGGCCACTGGACAAGCTGTGCTAAATGAGACAGATCTGGCTACACTTATTCTCAACATGCTTGTCACAATGTGTAGCTATTTTCCCAGCAGGTAAAGAACTTAGATTTCAGGTCGCTAATATTTTTCATTATTGCAAAAATCTTAAATGGTCCATTCCTGGGAATGAAGACAGTGAAAAACTGTTCAAGAAGCCACTCCAAAAAACATAATTCTTTGCTGTAAAAGAGGTCAGCCTCTATAAAATTCATATGTTGAGCTAGTAAAGAGTTTGTTCTAGGAAAAAACAAGAATGTGAAACGTCTGCTAATTAGCCAAAAGACAATAGAAGCAAATGATTTTGTACTAATATACTGATTAGAAAAATATATTTATTTTAGAGATCAGGATAATGCTATTATAAGACCTTTACCCAAGGTGAAGAGGCTTCTCTCCGACAACACTTGCCTTTCTCATATCATTCAGGTAAATTGACATTCCATCTTGCCTTTCAGACATATTTCATTTCCTGCTTAATTTTCAATATGCTATGCATGTTTATGGGTTCTTTTAACTGAGTAATGTTTTGGATAGTAACTGAGCAATATTTTAATTTGAAATGAATATTTAACTTTTTGTACATTACAGCTTTTGCTGACTTTTGATCCCATTCTTGTTGAGAAGGTTGCCATATTACTCTTCCATATCATGCAAGACAACCCACAGTTACCTCGTCTTTATCTCAGTGGAATATTCTTCTTCATTATGATGTACACTGGTTCCAATGTACTCCCTGTTGCAAGGTGAAAACAAAATTTTCATATCTCTCTGGGTTGGTTTGAGTAATATGCAATCTAGCAATCCATAAGTCTTTTATTTTTTATTTAGCATGATGTTCAATCCTAGATCAGTAAAGAAGCCAGACTTTACTTAGTGGTCAGTCAAAAGATTCAGCCATTTCCTGCTTATTTTCTCATTTTTTGCACCAGTCCCTAGAAGAAACGAGAAAGATACAATATACCAACAGTAAGCCATGAGTACACAAACCAAAATTTGTAAATCAATAGGAGCCCATAATTTCAAATTGTATTTTATTGTGAACCATTGTATCTTATAAAACCATTGTGTTTTATTGTAAACCATTATTTCTTTCTGAGGATAGATAGCTTTACTCTCCACATTATCTCTTAGCAATATATGCAAACCAAGCCATTATTTTGTAGTGGTGATATGGGTCAATCTGCTGGTGAGGCATTCCCTAAATAATATAGTATTAAATTACTAGTAAGCGTTAAGCTAAGAGCATTCTTTCTCAACATTTTTTTTCTAGAGAAAAATAATATTTCTTTTGAAATAATTCTTGGTGAACATCTGCATAAAAATTTAACTAAAGCTCACGATTAATCATCATATTAGCATGATCAGTAAACTGAATTGAGGCATATAAAAATTCTAACCCCTGTGAACCTTAGCATTATAACCTTAGCATTATAAGATGTGCAAACTTAAAAAAACTTTTTTAAAATCATGATTTCTCACTGATCCCTAGGACTGCAGAAAATAAGTGAGAAAGGCTATCTTAATAGAAGCACTTGAATTGTAGAATTCATAACATTTAATCAAATGTTATAAATATATAGAATTCATAACATTTAATCAAATGCATTTATCTTTTAGGTTTTTGAAGTATACACACTCAAAGCAAGCTTTCAAATCTGAAGAGGTAAGATATATTAATAGTAAAAACCAACACTTAAAATTTCTGAAAATAAACCAATCCTAATATTGTGTTAAGTGTTACTTTGGTAATTTTAATCTCTTAATTTTTCTTTAGGGTTTTGTTTGCTACAAACAAAATATTTTAACCTTTTACTAACGGTATAATTGCTGATCTACTGATGATAAAATTTATCTATATCTAATTATTTTACACCAAAAGATTCTGTTTATATAGTGCTCAAATAAATTATTTTGTTAATTTATAATGCCAGAAATCAACAACTCTAAAGAAAGTAAGTAGGTTGCTTTGCAGTATAAATATAGCATATAAAATCCTAAAGAAAATAATTTAATTATGACATATTGATAGAAAGGAAAACTGAAGAAATATTTCTGTTTAAATATTTGATTAAAATAGAATTCTGGGTAATGGAAATAAATTGCTTAATGGAGGAACAAGCTGGATTTAAACTAGAGCACTCCACAATAGACATTTGTTTTATTTTACACCTTCTGATAACAAAACAACTAATTAATGGCAAGAAGCTGTTTACCATCTTTCTAGATCTCAATGCTGCTTTTGACTCTATAAACAGAAACATTTTGGGGAAGAAATTGGCTAAGTTAAACGCCCTGGGTCTTCGGAGAGGGGCAGCATATAAATTGAATAAATAAAATAAATAAATAATAAATAAATAAAACATAGAATCCTTACTCTTAGATTCTTATTCTTACGTATACTCAAACGCTCATTTGAAAGCCTATATAGATGTTATTGTTTCTCTAAAAGTATACCTTCACATACTCGTGTTGGACAGAATTGTAGCCTGAGCCCCAGTGCTTTTTTTTTTTATATAAAAAATGTTTTATTTTAAACACATTAAAAACACATTAAAAATCAAACATATACATATAACAAAAAATAACACAAAAAAGAAAAATATCACTTTTCTTTTCAGCTATACACAGCGGTCTGCTCTTTCTATACATCAATATTTACAAATATTTAAGTATAAACTTATTTGACGTTCGTTTTCTACTTTATATCATTTCTTCTTTACTAAGAAAAGATCATACACATTTTCCCCCTCCTTTCTTCATTCATTTAACTTATTTCCTTATGTTTCAATCATTCATACCATCTACTCCAAACCTTATAATACTTTGATTCTTCCTTCCCCTTAATTTCTTTAGTTAATTTATCTAATTCTGCACATTCTAGAATTTTTTTAATTAAATCCTCTTCCGTCGGTAGTGTTTCCTTCTTCCAATATTGTGCATATATGATACATGCTGCAGCCAATATATGCAATATAAGGTACTGTATTTCTTTAGTATAATTGTCTATTGAAATTCCTAACAGAAATTGTTCTGGTTTTCTCTCTATTGGATTCTGAGTTATTTCTACTATCCAAGTTTTTTTTTTTATTATTGCAAAAGTTTTACAATTACATTTTCACCCCTTTTCCCCCCCCCCTCCCCCCCAGACTTCCCAACCTCCCTAACCCTCCCTAACCCTCCCCTCCCCCCAGACTTCACTATAATATACTCATACTCATAAAAAACCCTTAATATAACACTTATATATAAACTTGAACCCCTCCCTCCCCTGTATAATTTTTTTCTTTACCTCATTACATTAAAATATTTCAAATACATTATTTTCAAATAAAAGCTATTTGATACTTTCTAGTTTGATATTTGTTCTGAACATATTCTATCCACTTTTTCCATTCCCATTCATAAGTCTCTTGTGAACAATCTTTTAAATATGCTGAAATCTTCGCCATCTCTGCAAAACTGGCCATCTTCAAAGTCCATTCCTCGATAGTGGGCAAAGCTTCATTCTTCCAGTATTTACCTATCAACAATCTTGCTGCTGTTATCATATACAATATCAATTTTGTTTCACCCAATGTAAAACCCTTAACTATACCCAATAAAAACAGTTGTGGAGAAAATTGAATTTTTTTCTTCAAAACATTCTGCATGACCCACCAAATTTTTATCCAAAAAGCCTTAACTTTCCTACAGGTCCACCAAACATGATAATACGTAGCATCCAAACATTCGCATCTCCAACATTTTGGCTGAACATTAGGGTACATACATGACAACTTTTTGGGATCTAAATGCCATCTATAAAACATTTTATAGAAATTTTCCCTCAGGTTCTGCGACTGTGTAAATTTAACATTCTGAACCCAAATTTTTTCCCATGTTTCCAACATCACTGGTTCTTCAAAATTTTGTGCCCACTTAATCATACAATCTTTAACTAATTCAGTTTCTGAGTCCCTTTCTAGCAAAACATTATAAAGCCTTTTGATATGCATTGGACCTTTCTCTCTTATATGTCTAACCAATTCTTCCTCATGCAACATAATACCAGTTTTTTGGTCCTCTTCCATCTCAATTGTAATTGATTATATTGTAACCAAGTTAAATTAATCCCTTCGTCCAACAGTGTCTGCAATGTCTTCAGCTGCCATCTGCCCGCATCTGTAAAAAGAACCTCTTTGTATAAACCCCCCCGAGTGACATTATGTTTGTATTCCACAAAGTATGACCAAGATCCAGCCATAGCGGTATTTTATAATCCCATTTGAGTCGATGCTTCTTCCAAACTCTCATCAAAGAGTCTCTAAGTATATGGCTTTTAAATACTTTATCAACTTTGTCATCATAAAATAAGTAAGCATGCCATCCAAATTCAAGATCAAAACTTTCTGCATTCAATATTCCAGCCTTTTTACTTCCAAACCAATCACTTGTTAAAGTTAAAGCTGCTGCGTCATAATATAGCTGTAGGTTTGGAAGTTTAAGACCTCCTCTTTCTGGAACATCTTGCATAATTTTCAATTTCACTCTCGGCTTCTTCTCGTTCCAGACGAACTTATTCACTCCAGATTGCCAAACTTTCAATTGTTTATCACTTTTAAGCACCGGAATCATTTGAAACAAAAAAGAAATCTTGGCAAAATATTCATCTTAACTGCTGCTATTCTTCCAAGTAGAGACAGCTGCAGTTTTTTCCAAGTCTCCATATCTTTCTGCACCTCTCGCCACAACACCTCATAGTTATTTTGAAACAATTTCATGTTTGATTCTGCAACCTGAACTCCTAGATATTTTACCTTAGGTACAGTCTCAAAACCTGCCCTCCTTTCAAGCTCACGTTTACGATCTAATCTTTATACCTTTCAAGATATTAGAGTCCCGTATTGTATTTAGCAAGACTTCTAGCGTTAAAATAAATAAAAGTGGGGACAGCGGACATCCCTGTCTTGTTCCTTTTTCAATTTTGAACTCTGTTGTCAAACTTCCATTAATAATGATCTGTGCCTTTTGCTCTTGATAAATTGCCGAAATCGCCTGTATAAATTGATCCCCAAAGTCCATCTTTTTCAAAGTCTTTAATAGAAAATTCCAATCCACTCTATCAAAGGCCTTCTCTGCATCCAAAAAGACCAGCACTGCAGGGATCTGTTTATTCTTCTCAAGATATTCCAATAAATCTATTACTTGCTTTACATTGTCCTTCATATATCTGCCCTCGATAAATCCCGCTTGATCATCATGAATCACCTTTTGAATTACTGGCATCAACCTGTTGGCTAGTACTTTCGCAAAAATTTTATAATCTGTATTCAAAAGAGATATTGGTCTATAGTTCTCTGGTTTTTTAGGACCGATTTGTTCTTTTGGTATCAAAGATATGTAAGCTGTTGTCCATGATGGGGGTATTTTACCCCCTTGCTGGATATTGCAAAATAAATCTCTAAGTTGTTCCACCATTTCAGCTTGCAAAGTTTTGTAATACACTGCAGTCAAGCCATCCGTGCCAGGAGCTTTGGCTGTTTTTAACTGTTTAATTGCTACTATTATCTCCTCCTCTGTTATAGGATAATTCATTCTTTCCTTTTGTTGATCAGTAATTTTTGTAACTCTTTTATCATTTAAATATTTTTCTATAAGTCCATTCTGCACCTCCTCTTTAGCATATAATTTAGTATAATAGTCCACAAAAGCTTCTTTAATTAATTTTTGTTGAAAGATTTCTTTCCCTCCAATATCAATACTATCAATAGTCCGTATACTTTGTTTTTTCCTCAAATGTGTAAGCCAACCATCTGCCCGGTTTATTAGCGTTACAAAATGTGTTATGCTTCGCATATTGTAAGTTTGTTGCAACTTGTTCCGCCATAAGCATTTGAAATTGGTCTTTCAAAAGTTTTATAGCACTACGTATTCTTTCATCTGTTGGATTTTTAATAAGTAACTGTTCTTTATTCTTTATTTCTATTTCCAGTTCAGATCTTTTCTTTTGTCGGAACAGTCTATGTTTAGAGTTCATGTAGATAAGTACCCCTCTCATATAAGCTTTACTTGCATCCCACACAATTTCAATTGGGGTACCTTTATTCAAATTTATTTCAAAAAATTCTTTCAAATGCTTTTTAAGTTCTGTTGTATTTTTTTCATATCTAAACAAATTCTCATTTAATCTCCAAGAACGTCTCTCAACCTTGTCCATCTCAATTTCTATCCATACTGGGCTATGGTCAGTCAAAGTTCTTGGAAAAATCTTTGTTCTTTTTGTCTTAACAAGTAAATCATCTGTCAACAAAATAAAGTCAATCCTAGAGAAGGATCTGTGTCTGTCAGAAAAAAAAGTATAGTCCAATTCTTTTGGATTATGTATTCTCCAAACATCTTTTAGTTCCATATCTTCTTTCATGTCAAAAAAGGTCTGTGGTAATCTAATTCTAGACTTTGCCAAACTCTTTTTATCTAATTTAGAGTCGATTACTCCATTCCAGTCTCCCATAATTAAAATAGATCTGTAATCCCATTGCAATATTTTAGTATGTAACATCTTATAGAAATAGTCCTGTTGTTGATTGGGAGCATAAATCCCAATCAGAAGAATTTGGCCATTTGCTGTAGACAATTCAATTGCTACAAACCTACCATCTTCATCTGTTTCTATAACTTTAGCTG